GTTTCGTGATCTTTAACGGAGTTACGTTTTTTATCATTAGTGACAATTATGGAAATATCGTCGGCAAAAAGAAAACATTTATTGTTAGTCACATCAACAATATTGTTTATGTAAAGTAAGAATAAAATCGGGCCCAATATACTACCTTGGGGTATGCCCCGCTTTATGCATTTATATTCTGATGGGTAATTGATCATATTCTGACTCTCATCAATTCTGGTGATAATGACCCTCTGTTTTCTATCAGATAAGTATGACAATATCCAGTGTAAAGGTGGTCCTCGGATTCCGATAACCTCTAATTTCTGCAACAATCTGTCGTGCGTAACTAGGTCGAATGCTTTCGATAAGTCAATAAATAAACCCGTTGTAAGCTGATTTTTGTTAACATTGGCTAATACTACTTTCAGAAGTGAAAATATAGCTAAAGTCGTGGATTTATGTTTTTGGAATCCGAATTGTTCCTTTCTTATAATGTTGTACTTCTCACAGTACGTGATTAACCTTCTATACATACATTTCTCATAGATTTTTGATATAATGGGTATTAATGTTATAGGACGATAATTGGACAAGTCATATTTGTGCCCCTTTTTAAAAAGTGGTTTAACAATACACAGTTTTAACGCGTCAGGGAATAACCCCTGTGAAAAAGACAAATTAATTAAGAAAGTTAATATTTTGCTTATTTCATCAACGCATTTCTTTATTATTGTGGTGTTAAGTTCATCGTAACCTTCCGAGTTAGTGTTATTCAATGATAATATCTGTTCTTTTACTTCATTTTCAGACGTAGGTATTAGAAACATTGAGTTAGATGCTAGTTTTGTATTTCGACAGGTATTTGTGACGTTTTGTACTAGTGTGGTATTTATATTTATGAAGTGATCATTAAAGGCCGATGCAATTTCTGTGGGCTGTGTTAGTGTGGTAGTATCAGTTTTAATAATTTCAATATTGTGCTTGAGCTTAGCACTGTTTACCTCCTTTTGTATGACTGCCCATGTTGCCCTACACTTATTGTTATTATTGTTCATAAATTTTATATTAGCGTTCCGTTTGGCATTATAAATACATTTTTGTAATAATCTAGAATATAAGATATACATATTTTTATTGCTTAAATTTTTAAACTTGTAATATTGATGTCTTAAATAACGTTTAGTTCTAGAGCTTTGCCTAAGGCCTTTAGTTATCCATGTTTGTTTAATTTTATTGCTTATATTTATTTTAACTCTTATTTTTGGGAAACAGAGACTATAAAATAGACATATTTGTTCATGGAAATGATTAAACGCTGTATTTGCATTTGTGTCCATGTATACATCACACCAAGATAAGTTTTGTAGGCAATCTCTAAATTTACGTATATTATCTATACTGTAATCCCTTTTGTAAATGAAGTATGATACAATATTTTTTGATAATTGAATCTTTAAAGGAAAGCTTAACATTTGTGCCGTTTCGTGATCAGAAAGGTTAAGTGGTAGAACACTTGCAATCGCGTCTGGTATGTTACTCAGGATGTGGTCTATACATGAATTTTTACGGGTGGGTACGTTGATATGAATTTTTATATTGTGGTTGTGAGCGATATCTTGAAAGTTTTGCGTGATTTTACCTTTTTTTAATGTGTTTATATTAAAATCCCCTAACAGAACGATATGAGTTTTAGATTTATATTTTTTGAATAGATCATGTAAAATACTATCCAACTTAGCTAGGAACTGATTAGGATCCGACTGGGGTGTTCTATATAAACAAATAATTACTAATTTTTCATTTACTAGTTCTATGCCACATATTTCGAATATTTTAGTAGTGGCGTGATTGTTTAAAAGTGATAGTTCCTTGAATTTTAGACCCCTTTTAACTAAAATACAGGTGCCACCTCGCTGGTGTTCCCTGCTGAAATTTGATGCCATTTTATACTCAGATAAGTTGAGAAAGTGTTCTTGACCTTTTTTTATAAATGTTTCTGATAGGCAAATTACATGTGGGTCATTCTGTATTTCTCGCATATCCTGTAATGTTAATTCCAATATTTCTTGTTTAGATAAAACACTCGCGATATTTTGATGAAGTATTCTGAAGTTATGCAATAAAGGTTGAGTTTTAGGGTCGAAAAAATGTGTTACCTTTAGTAGTGGAGGGAAAATAATATGGTATAGTACCTATTTTTATGTGTTTCTCTGTTGGCATGCACATATTTTGAATAGGATTAGGATTTTGAATAGGATGTCTGCAGTTACGATTTGTGAAATAGAAGGGAATGGTCCCTATTTTAGGTTTTAACGGCTCTGTTTTATGCAAAGAGCTTGTTTTGCTGCCCGCAAGGTGTTTCCTGATTTCAATTGGATTTAGATACTTCTTGCTATAATCCTCACAATCTATAATGTAGTTTATCTTTTTGCAAATGTTAGGTAAGTTATAATATTTACAATCAGCGAAATGACAATTTTTATAATATTTACAAATATTTCTGATGCGATAGTTTAGTTCATTGACATCTAGATGTTTACTTTTGACTACGTTTAGTACAATTATGCTACTGTTATAGAAAGTCTTCAATACAATTTTTAACTGAGATAATACATGTTTTGTATTGTAATCATTTTCGCCTATACATAATACAATTTTGTCATTATAAGATAAGTTAGTGCTAGTACATTTATTTATTATTGTGTCGCTGAGGGCATTAGGCATTGTTTCTCCTATAATATCGTATTTTTCATACCTGGTAGCCTCTCTGGAACGAGTAAGGGCTGCGGCTAAGCCGACGCATTGTTGTGCACCAAATATTTTGATTGTATTTTGTGTGGAGTTTCCAATTTCTGCAGGGCACTGTCGTCCTATTGGTGAGGTTTTAAGGGATTTCTCTAGAATCTGCATTTGAGTGTTGAGAGATTTTATTTCTTTTTCGGAGTTAATTAGTTCTCTCTGTAGGTGGGCGATTTTTTCGTATAGCCTATCTTCCTCGATAAAAGGACTATCTAACACAAAAATAATTTTGTAATTGGATCAGTAGTTCCTGAGGTTAGCGCGTTCAAACAAACAAACTCTTCAGTTTCGTAAAAAAAATATTTAATATTTGATCTAAGTGATAAAGATGTTCGCGATTCATTTTAACTAAATATTCCTACTTTCATGTCATCAATTTCGTAGATCATAGTTAAGGTTCTAAACTAATCTTATCTTCATCGTCATCACTGCTGAACTATGAGCCTTCTTTAGATAAAAAGGATCTTCTATAATTTGCAAGTTAGACAATATTGAATAAATTATTATGTTTTCGGCTTACTCATGTAATAATTCGACGAGGAACTCGACTAGTTTCAAGCCCTGCTAGAGGCTCATATTCACATTATTTTATTATTATTATATTCATGAGCAGCATTTGGCGACCCGCGACGCGGCGACCCGCGACGCGGCGACTGTCGCGCTGCTACTGGTCGGCTGACAATATTGGTCGGCAGGTTCAAGATCGCAGTATAAAAATATAATGTATGAAATTAAAACAGTTTAAAATGTTCAGGTTTAAAAGAACGTTGTTGTGCAGTCTTGGTTAAACGTAGTCTCTTAGCCGGTTCAGGGGCCTTAGTACCTACGAGTTTCTTTTTCGTTTAATGCCGGTTCTAATGAACCAACCAATCAGAGCACAGAACACTGTCTCATTTTGATTACATTAAACGAAAAGGAAACTCGTACTAAAGCCTCTTATTACACATGAAAATGTGAGGATATGGTGACTTTACTCTGGTATGAATTGCATTTTTAAGGGTTCATGAATACCTACTAAACTTAGATACATTTATTCACTACTTAATTTCCCTATTACTGAACTTGGAACTTGCATACTGGATTAATTATTCCGAACACGTGTGCGTCTTTTAAGGTTTCTTCGGCAGGTGCTACTTCTGCTTAGACATAAGGAAGTATACGAAAATACAATGAAATTATATCGCATAAAAATTATTGTTGAAGTATACATATAGTCTTAGTAGACTATATGTATACTTCAACAAGAATTTTGGACGAAGTTGCGGGCAACAGCTAGTGCTGTTGCCCGCAACTTCGTCCGCGAAGAATATGAATTTTAGAACTTAACTTTTTTTATTTCCATTTTGCACTATGTTACTCATTAGTACATCAGCTACCTGCTAATAAAAGTCTTGCAAAATCGTTCCAACCATTCCAGAGATTCGCCAGTACAAACAGACAGATACACGGATGAATTTGTAAAAAATGTTATTTTGGTATGTGTATCGTATGTATATTCATTTGCACGTAGTAAAAGGTTTGTGTTTTAAAATTTCAAACATACACTCTAATTTTATTTATCTGTATAGATGTATAGAGTGACCAGTACTTGGCAATAGGCTCTCTCCCTATAACACTCCATGGGACTTTTTGTATAACTGGTGAAAGGTCGATAGTTAGGTACATTTACTAACATCTAGGTATAGTGCCCCTGAACCTAGGGTATGTTCGAACAGTCCGGGAAATAAAATATCTCTGTTTAAAAAATGTTACCCCACACTTTCTCCTTTGTCGCGGAGAATCTAACGGGTTACCGGGGCTCCGGCTCGGCGTGCAGGAGAAGGAACGGGGTGGTTTTTAGTCAGTAAGAGAGTAAGAGTCTGACATTCCCTCCCGCCTCACCCAGGCGGGAGCAGTCATTCGATGATTTTTCCCCATTAAAAAAAACCACTAGGACTTTTTCCTTTCCTCCTCTCCTGTGTCGTGGATGCGTTTACAAACATACAATTTCACATACACATGACACCTAGCTCCGAAACAGCAATTTGCGGATGACACAAAGAGTGCTAAGTACGGAAATTCAGCCCGCTACGCGTTGCTCGGAAGTCAGTCTCAGCCGTCGCAACAACCGTACATTCAAATCGTAACGTTTATTATTATGTGGGTACTATGGGACTCGGTGCTTACTTTATGTAAGGTTAATATATTTAGGTGACTAATTTATCGTACCTTTTTTTCAGCCAGATCCTGTACATGGACCAGCATGTATACGATATTCCAAAAAGCTACAACAGAAACATTCCACCCGGTAAGTTCTTTCTATTACCTACTTTGTAAAACTAGTACCTAATAATTAATAGATTTCTCGTTTCAAATTTACCTTAATCTTAAACCTTCAAAAATGAAAAATAGCCATACCTATTAGGTACAAGTTTTTAACCTTTGTTCAATGCCGAACTATTTTTAAAAACACTTAAATTAGATTTTGGGCAGGTCATATTTTTATAAAGTCACGCGTAGATACGGTCGCAGCGTGGCCCTCGGCTCGGCTATCCACTTAGCACCGGACATTATTCAGCACAACCACGCCAGTTGCCGGCGCTGCCGCAAAACCAATCATTAGTCAAGCCGTGGGTGATTGTCGTACGTCAACCATGTTACTAATTATAACCCACCTCCTTACAAAGCATATAAAACCTCATTTCTAACTATAAAATAACACACTAAAACGAAGCAAAACAACAACTGATAATTCATTTCTCTAAATAATAACCAAATTAATTTTACACGCGCCTCTGGTTTTGACGAATAATTTACCGAATTGGAATAATTATCATATTTTAGCGACGAGACATTCTGTGTCTAAAACAAAAGTAGTAAAACTGAAATCCAGTAATCCTAATGGTTTTGCATCACGAACCTTCACGGACGTTCGTTTACCTATAGATACCTACTAGCAAACTCTGGGTACCTATATCGGCTATATCAAACGAACACGATTCACTAAATCTAGGATGACTTGTAGTATATCGAAAGAAAGTAAAAAGGTACTTAGTTTTACCAGATCATCTTTATTTTCATAGTATTTTTTCCTTTACTGGTAGGACTTAGTGAAAGTTTTCATTATTCCTTTCACGAGATCTCAATAGCTAGTGACATGTTTATCACGATGTTTCAGTCAAAGCATTTGGCAGCACTACTTGTGACAGAGTTCAAGGACCCACCCAGGGTTAGGGTGACAGAATACTAATGCACAATACAAACAATCCGAAATAAACAATAAACAAATGATAATAACACCGATATCAACCTAAACCATTTTGAAAATAAAATTAATAAATAACTACCAAAATACGTAGGAAATTAAACTTAGTTAAATAAAACGTCAATTCTGTTATTATCGTGTCGATTTAGAAAACAACATTTCATATAACTAAACCACTCTCAGCAAAAGTAAATAAGCAAACTTAAAGTATTATAAACAGTAGTTATTTGTGTATTTCTTGTCTCCTTTCATATAAAAGTTTTCGTCCATAGTCGAGGGCTGACTTACGTGAAGGCAGTAGCCTACTCGCTTAGCTAATATTGCGGTTTTCGGCCGTGATATCTCCGCTGCCGTACAACCATTGATTAGACGCTATTATACCCGAACAATGTGTCATTATTTTAAGGAATGTAATACATAAGTTTTCCATTGTTCTTTTTTCAGATAAAAACACAACAGTTTACGTTGGAGTAAATGTCAATCGGGTATCTGGAGTTGATGAGAACAAAGAGGTAAACACATTCATAGACCTGGCTCCTGTAATATCTACTATCATTAATCAATCAAAAAGCAAAGTCATACAAGAAACGGTTTTGAGAATCTAACGAGTTACCGGGGCTCCGGCTCGACGTGCAGGAGAAGGACGGGGTGGTTTTTAGTCAGTAAGAGTCTGACACTCCCTCCCGCCTCACCCAGGCGGGAGCAGGCATTCGATGATTTTCCCCCCTTAAAAAAAAGCCACTCTACGTAATCTGTTGTCATCCTCAGGAGATAACACTAGACGTGTTCCTGCAAGTGTCATGGGCAGACAGCAGGCTGCACGTGCCACCAAACATGCCCTTCATTGACCTGCCGTGGGAGTTCCGCGCCCTCATCTGGACACCAGACCTCTACATCTGGCAGCTCCAGACTATGCGAATACTCTCCGTCCTCCAGGAGATGGCGTCCCTGCGCCTCTACTCCAACCGCACCGTCTCAGTCAGTATTGGGTTCGTCCATCACTTTATATATTCTTTACTATCTACATTACTCTCTACAATATAAACAGACGTCAAATTAACTTCCAGACATCATCATAATAAATTCTCGCCTACAAAGATTTATTTTTTACACCACCGTGGTTTATTTATAAATCGTATTTATACAATTCATTTAACGCATGGCGGACAATAAGTCGTAAATTGTAAACTTGATTAATTATATCTATTTTAATATATGTATCATGCAGTACCTAGTTAAAGATAATGAAGTCAAAATGTTACATACATACATACATGTTTCCTCCTTATTATTCATTTAGAAGTAAGTTTTGATTGTAAATTTATGATCACAGTTCAATCTTTAATGTAGGTTTACACATAATTTAGTAACATATGAGTACTTTGTTTAGTTTTCACTAATTTTCAATAATAATGATAAATAAATACCTATTAAACATCTAGACCAATTTAAGAAAAATCTGAATTTCTTAATGAGTTGAGATCGGCCCTCTAAACAACTAATTTATACCTATTTAATAAATTACAATATTCTGATTTACGTTTACAGTGCGACAATAACAATCAAGTGCGAGATGGACTTCGTTCTCTATCCCTTGGACGTGCAGAACTGCGCCATCGACTTTAGCAGTTGTAAGTATTTACTGATTTTAATCCCTGATGATAACTTCATTTTGACAATTATCTAAGGCCTGCTATATCTAGGAGGAGATAGGTATTGAAAAATATTCGGCTTATTGTTTCCTTGAAATGTGAATAATGTTTAATTATATAAATCGTTCGCAATTGTTCAGGTCAAATACCCACAGTCCCACACCCAAACAATTAACACAGTCGCAGTCTTTGAGAAACTGTGTGCGAAATGTTTCAGAATCGTAAAATGTGTTTTGATTTCTTAATGCTAGACAAAATTACATGTTTTGTCTACATGCCAGTTGTTCTACTTTGGATTCTTAAATGTTTTTATAGATTGTCGAGTCTCCACTGAAATCGTTTACGATATCACTGTTAGACTTTTACAAGTTTACGATGATTGGGTAGACGTTGTTTAATGCCAGTATTTATTATTTCAGACAAATACACGACACAAGACGTGCGCTTCGAGTGGCGCGAGGTCGCGCCGTGGCTGGGCATCGGCCCCGTGGGCAGCGAGCAGCGCAGCCAGTTCCGTCTGCCCAAATATGTGGTCACCTTCGTCACGGACAAAAGTAATCATATTCGCAATTTTGGTGAAGGTAAATGTATATTTATTGCTTTGCGCTTGTGTTTGCGCCTCGTAACTAACTATGTACCTATTAACGCTAACGTGCTGTTGCTATACGCTGGCATGTCGCCCGCACTGCTTGGCGCGGATGATCGCGATCGCGATGGGTCGGTATTCAACAAGTATTATAAATGCAGAAACAGAACAACTGTACATTTATAAAAAAACTCTACTTAAGTTCATATTCCTCAGTATTGTATGTGTATCTACATACGGATGTTGAAATGTATGAAACTAAGATGTTGCAAGGCACGGGCCTTGCAACATCTTAGTTTCTGTGACTGTGTGACGCACGATTTGAATTTTGATGTTGTACCTATATATTATAAGTATCTATGTATGTACCATTGATGGCAATCATTAAATGACCATTTGATGAGAGCAGGATCACCACAGATAGTGAATTATAGCACTATGTTGACGCTTGCTCAGTGCTGAGGCCGCTGGGTAGGGCCACTGGTACTGAGAGCTAAGCGGTAAGTGTAGCCGTATAGTACTAGACAGCACCCTGTAAGTAGGTGTTTAATAGTTGATAGTAAGTGTTCTAGACATTAGGTAGGTAGTTAATAGAGCACTGACCACTAAACACGAGTATGAAACACTGCAATGTGGAGGCTGAATTTGGTTTGATTGATGGTGGTAGGGGAGCACTCGGCAGCGCGGCTACAGATCAAGTTGTCTCGAGAGCTGCGCAGCTACCTGCTGGAGAGCTACCTGCCGTCCTCACTGTTCGTCATCATCTCGTGGGGCAGCTTCTGCGTCATCCCGGAGATAGTGCCCGGCCGCATGGTGCTGCTCGTCACCACGCTGCTCTCTCTCGTCACCATGTTCGATACAGTCAGGTGAGCCTCCTTATTTAAAATAACTCAGGTTTAAGGAAAGTTATATTTAGGTATATAATTGGTATTACAACATCCTAACTACCTACTTCACATTTTCACGTAAAATGTTACATGAAAATGTCAACCACTGTCAAAAAAGTAATCAGGTTTCATTACGGAGCCTAGTTTCTCACCATACATTCCCCGCCCTCAATCTATAAACGCTAATTTTACACTTTAGTTGCGGCGAAATGCTACAACCGTAGTTACCGACCTACGCGCTACGCGCTACGAGCTACGCGCTGCGTACTACGAACTATGCGCTACGAGCTACGGCTGTAGTATTTCGTCGCAACTCAAAACTCAAATGCAAAAACAGATTTAGGGCTGGGCATGTACGAATAGAAACTTGGATTATTGTTACTAGTACAATTTTAGTCGACATAAGTACCTACTAAATGAAAATATGGACATATTATCTTACATTTCAGCACAAATTCGCCAGACGCGCTTGAGCTGAAGTGTATCGAGGTGTGGTTAATATCGTGCACGATATTCGTGTTCCTGGCGCTCATGGAGTACTTTGTAGTGCTGTTCGGTATCCGTTACGACAAGAGTTGGAGTCGACGGCGAGCAGACCTGCGCCGAGCTGCATCCGCCGCGCAGCTTGCGCCGCCGCCTCTACACATCAACCACTCGCAGGTACGGTCCTATCTTCCCTGCCACTGTACAGTCATCCCACCACAATACATACCACCTGACAGCCCCGGTCTCTAGCGCACGCTTAGCACGGCGACACTAACGCGCCAGATTTGCGTTCGCAGAGGCTGAGCACGCCGGTGACCGGCACGCCCCAGGGCGGGATGTTCTCGCCAACGTTGAGCGTCGAGGATGACGGCTTCAAGCAACAGATGGAACACCAAACCATTCAGAGGGTAAATACCACCAAGCCTGACCTCACCCAAACCATAGAATAAATTCGTAACTTCCGAGTACCTCAGTGTAGCATTACACTGCATGTAAAATATTTAACATACCACGTATTATTTAGGTGCATTAATTTTTAAACTTAGGCCACCAATTTCTAGTCTCTCTCGGGAAGGAATTGGAGACAAAATAAGGTTGGATGTGAAACAAGATCAGTCAGCAAGGTAAAATATGAATTTAAAGCAACAACACTGCACAGTGTGGCTATCGTAAACTTTATATGCTGCAAATTACACAATACATAATGTAATTAAGTTTAACAATAACTAGTTTAGGCAGTATTTTCCTTGCAAATCTGATGTTAGTAAATATTAGCAGGCAAGCATACTTAGTGCATGCCAAAACATAACAACCAAACCATTATTTTTGTAAAGTATTCGTGGTATTCTATTGGAGGTGGTATGACTTGTAGAGTATTTAGATATACAAGATCGTCACTGCAGTACAGATACTTAGTTACTAGTTGCAGTAACTCTGCTAATTTGGGCTAGTGAAGCAGTATCTTCCTACGTAAAAATATTAGAAAAGGCAAAATAAATTCGCACTGCTTATAATCACTCTGTTATTGTGGTATGAATATTAGGGCTCTTGACGTACGAGTACTTAGAAATGGCTACAGTACCATAGTCTGTGTGTAGTCCGTGTTATTATATTGGACAGCTGTAAGAATGCGACTTAGATATTGTGAGAATGATTATTTTGTTATTTGTAGGACTCCCCGATACTGGAGTCGATGCCGTCGGGCGGCGGCGGGCCGAGCGGCGCGGTGGCGCGGCTGCGGCAGGCGGTGGACCGCGCCGTCATGTTCTGCGGCGCGCAGCACGGCGCGCTCGACAAGTTCGCGCTCATGGTGTTCCCTATGTGCTTCTGTCTATTCACCGTCATATACTGGACCACATACCTCAGTGAGGCGCACCGCGCCTCGCGGCTCAAGTGACCATACAAGTGACAAGTTCTCGCACGGTTACATCACCAACTTGTGATTACAGTGCCTATGCAGACGTTGTGACGTTGTTGTACATATTAGACGAATTACTAGTCAAATTATAAATATAAACGTGTGACCCTTATTCGTAAGTCAAAGCCTTTAAATACTTAATGAACAATGTTGAACATTGTAGCGCGATGTCGAGGTTGTTCGTGAGCGAAAATGCAATTGTTAAAAGTTCCATTGAAGTTTGTTCATAGTGTTCTTAAAATTAGAGCTGTAAATGTGCCTTGTAAGAATACGGTTTCAATTTTATAAGATTGAGTACTGTGACGCTAGCAAATTCTAAAATTATTAGATATCTTTGAAATGCTCAGAATAAAGAAATCATTTCGTGAGATTTAAAATCGTATAGCACAATATGAAAAGGAAAGATATCGTTAAGTACGTAAGCGGGCAGCATGGGGACCACAGTTAAGCTCAATAGTACAAAACTATTATAAGGATAATGCCTTTTCTGACTCGGGTGCCTTTTGCCTTGTGTTTTTCCAACGAATTTTGATGAAGATAATTTTCTGTCTACTTATACTCGGATTACTCGGAACAAATGTCTTATGCAACGAATACACGTAACATGGAGTGTTTCATACTGCTTATCTATTGCGTCTCCTAAATACTTATACTTAATAGTTAGTTTCTATATACCTTGTTTTCGTTTTTAATGTAAATCATTAGCCATAACTTTGTAAATCCTTGTTTTCTTTTTATTTTTGAAGCCATTTTCCGTATGAAGTAGATCATGTCTGTAATTGATCCGAAACTCGTAAATGGCATTTAGACAAATGCCTACCGGTAGGTGTACATTGTAATATAATGTAACATAAGTCTAGCAAGTAAATATTTAATGACTAAGGCCTGAGATAATACCGATATCATAGAGATCGTAGTGCTCATTTAGTTGTATTAACTTATTATAAATTAGCTTATAGGTTGTCATTTTAAGATAATTTTATACCTTACACATGTCTAGGGATTTATTATATGAAGCAGTAATTCGGTAAAATTATTATTATTCGAAAATGTGTATAGGTACTTACTACTTTTACTGAAATTGTAAATGCGAAAACTATCCGTATGCAAGCATCATACATGTACTTACCCTGTATATTATAAATATGACTTCGGTACTACTTACTATCCGCAGTTTCAAACACTATTAACGAACGACTAAACATGGTCACATTTTGATTGACTTTTAATATTCAATAATGTTTTTAATTGCTCCCCATAATTAAATAAGTATACGACTTACTTTTCGATCACAAATATCAGCAAGCGAAATGGCTTAATAGTTACGCATTCGTTTAATCCAATGTCTATCCTATCCACAGACACAGCAATATATAGAATTACGCTTCGAAGCTTCAAGATGTGATAAATTTTATGATCAAAGTGTGGCCAATCCATTAAATAGGTTCGAAAAATATATTATTTATATAATTTGTTCTATCCTTCTAGTCACATGCGGAAACAATAACTTGTATTGCATGCGTCATTGTTTCTTTTCTTCATATTTTACCGATTAAATCGTAGCACAAATCTGTTATACGCACAAAGAGTTTCATCTAATCATTTCATTCTTGTTCCCATTGCAGTTGTAAGTTAAATTTACTAAGTACTTATAGTTTAAGGACGAAGCATCGTGTGATAATAAGATGAATCATTATTTATAATCGGTTTGTTATTGTTTTTTCATACCGCCACGGATGTGTGCCTACGTATTATTAACGGAATTTTTTGCTGAATAGATGGCGCTACTGAATCGTTGAGTCCTGTGCGTCTTTACTTGGGTAACGATCGATGTGAAATGTTTTGTAAACAAAGCAAGATGGGATTACATCTAGCTAAACCAAATAGCACATTTTTGTTTATGTCTTTGCTTATAACTCAGAACTGTCATAGAGGAAATTTGAAGAAAACTGGGAATTTTTATTGCCCTAAGGTTTATTTATAAAACATTTTACATCGAAAGCACTGTTGTTGTAAAAGTGGATGGACTAATGGTTTGATACTACAGTTTATTTTGCGTTATCGCCGCTAGGAAGTATTATAAGTTACTATAAATGTATTTTTGTATTCAGCAGACGGCGTTAATGTACCGTGAGCTCCCATCTTGCCCAATCATGGCAGCTGTCAAAAAATGCTTGTCCAATGGTTTGATAGGAAATTCTCTATAAAAGAAACAGACCTCAAGACACATTAGCACCATCTACTGAACACAAATTGCAGCAAAAATTGTGTAAGAAGATAACGAAACTTTCTAGTTAAGCTAAACAAGAAATTAAATTTGAAATCATTTCGAATGTTATGTTTAAAGATACAGGTCTAAATATTTAAGCATAAATTGTGAAGATCGAAAAATATTTAATAAATATGTTTCATACTAATAATTTAGTGTTAATACATCGTGCAAACCGTGGCGGGTAACGTACGTAGCTACGTCGAAATATCAAATAAGTCCAATTTAGTATTAACTTCTTCACCTACTGAACAAATTTGTGCCTTTTCAGTCATTTAATTGCCTAAATTAAGACATAGGGTTACGCTTGTGATTCATATCTGTTATCTAAACTAAACTGTGGGAAGGCAGTATTAAAAACCTTACAAAAATCTTAGGCAATACATAATTATAATTAAGTGAATAAAAAAAAATAATGAAATAAAAGACATTATTTTAAATCATTTTCCAGCTGTTTTATTTTTTTTTTTTTTTTATGGAATTGGAGGCAAACGAGCAGACGGATCACCTGATGGTAAGCGATCAGCGCCGCCCATGGACACCCGCAACACCAGAAGAGTCACAGGTGCGTTGCCGGCCTTTTAAAAAGGAGTACGCTCTTTTCTTGAAGGTTTGAAGGTCGTATCGGTTCGGAAATACCGCCGACGACAGATCATTCCACAGTTTTGCTGTGCGAGGCAGGAAGCTACGTGAGAACCGCACAGTTGTGGCCTGCCAACCATCTATTTGATGGGGATGCATATGCTGTCGTGATGTTTATATTTAACATGTTTATGCCTCTATTCGATTGTATTGTACATATATTACACTATCTACATAAATAATCAACAATTAGTGTCTATTCGTACCCATAATAGGCTGCTTCTTTGAATGCTTTGAGCATATCATCAGAGTTCCTCCTTATCCTTCTTCCTATTGGCTCCAGGTCCTCATAGCACTTAGGGAAGACTTTCTCTATTATGTCCACAGCCTCTTTCATGCCAATTTGTCTGACGGCCAACACAGAATATAGAGCCTTGGTCTTCACACAATCCTGATATTAAAGAAGTCTTTATTACAAGATTGTCATATTAAAATGTAAACAACTTATACAGACATTTGATGTTCATGTTCTTATAGGAAAAAAATTGTAATTTACCTGATGAGCCTTTTTAATTTTGCCCCACGAAGCATCTCCCTGTGACCAGGCGCTTGCAAATGAGCAATGTGTGAGGTTGGCTGCTCTAATTTCTGTGCAAGCTAGATGTTCCATGTTCTTGAAGTCCAATTGGTTCCGGCAGTAGTCAAACATGTGTATCATTTCATGAGCTAGTACTCCTTGCACCATTCCTTGACGGGTTGAAACATTTTGGCAGACAACTATCTGAAATATTTAAAAAATACATAGATTATTTTTCAGATAACCCTTAATAACAACCTATAAGTATATTTACTACTACACTATACTTTGGTTAAACATAATATCTCTAAGTATAGTTTGACTGATTGCACTATATTGCGTCATACTAGTCTTAGCCCGTATATCCCCAAGCGGTCACCTGTGATCACTCTCCACTAACTACATTAAAGACCTTATTTCCAATGTTTAGAGACTACTTTTGTATAAACAAATTTAGGGGATGATTTTGAACAATTTTTAACTGTTTATGTCAAAGTAGTCTTAATACTAATCTTACCTGATTTAATTCTGGGTCGTAACCACCACTGACAGAGTAGTCACATATCTCACAGGATATATGTCGCCGAATATCTATAGGGCTGTAAAAAATTAATAACATTGATAACTAATTAATTTTTTTTCATGATTTATAAATAGTTTTAGCATTGTTTAAACTGTCAAACACCAAGCAGTCACCGGTGACCGCAACCTATTGTTCTTTAATTATGTCTATAAATACGGTACTCGACGAGTTAATATAAACAATATTTACCATCCAGAACTTTTCAAAGCAGCCATCATCACCTTTACAATAGAACCTAAAAAGGAATAAAACGTAGTTTAGTATAAGAATGCATTATGTTATGAAGATTACAGACAATTTTACTACCAACTATTATTTTGAAACTTACTGTTCTTGACACAGTCATAGACGTGCTGTTCACATTTGAACTTATCAATGTTCTCTTTTCCTTCTTTACCGATTAGAATATTACTTAATTTTGGAGTAAAAGTGCCCCGTCTTTCAGGGTACAAATCGTAACCCCACGCTTCATCCTTCTTTGGTGCAGTCTCCGATTGGGTTTTATTAGTACTATCTGATGCAGTTTTTGCTTCTGCAGTCGATTTATTATTGTTTTCAGACATATTAAAAAGATTTCAGCCGATTATTGTAATGATGTTAGGTTATGTCGTCTTCTTTCGATAAGAATGAATGAAAAGTTGTATTAATAAATAAAAATAAAAATCCAAAGTATACTCAATCAAAAACGACGATGTTTATAAGAAATAAAAATGTATTTTTCATTGAAATAATCTGTTAAATCATTTTATAATACAATTAAAACCCCAGTGTTATTATTGTGTAATTTGACAAACAACTGACTGATGAACTGACGTTTGACATACCTAACCGTCTAAAAAAAAAGAAACTCGAAACACAAGTTTTTGAAAAAAAATATTACACGACTTTTTGAACACTACGAGCAAGCCGTAGGATTATACACGAACGATTAACTGAAAATCACTATACGTACGTTTTGACTAAGCTTTGCAACTAAATTCAATGCTTTGACTCCAGTATACTTTTGTGTAAGTATCAGAAAAAACATCAGGGTATTTCAATTATGGGATCTCGGGTTCGATTACCAGCAGGGCTATTGGCTCAGGTCGCGGATCTACATATTATTGGTTTTCATTGTAATGTTTTTAATATCATCAAGAACTTGTAGAACTAGAATTATTGTGCCACTTTCTTTGTACTGACTTCAGCACAAGAGGTGAAAATGAATATTGAAATGAAAAAATGAATGAATGTTAAATTGAATTTGTGCTGCTCTGCTTATTATTAAAACATAGTTTTTCTTCTAAAAGACGAATAATTTATTTACTTCTTCAAATTATAAAAGAATAAATAAAATGCCAATATTATTTACTTAAACTTTGAATTTATTTTCAACAAACTCCTATTTATACTTTCATTCCATTCAATGTGAACACATTTTGGTAATTCAATTGTTTCATAGTCCAACTCCATTTCACCTGAAAGGGATAATAATTTTGTTAGAAAAATATTCAGATGTTTTCTTTAATAAATATACCTTTTATCAAGTCATAGTCATACGCTTAATGTCCGCGTAGTACAAACCTAGGGTATTTAAGAAACCATTAAAAGTGTCTTCATTTCTAATAACACTTGCAATGTACACTTCCAATTTTCCATTCCTATTACAGAAGGTCCGAATGACATTGGATAATGGCTGCAGTATTGAAGGGTCATATACTATATCTGCTCCAATCAAAACATCCGGGACCAAGTCTTCTGTTAAATCATCAATGGCATTCCAATCCAGTGGCAATACACCTTCAAAAACAAAGATATATATTTGACAGAGAATTTTGGAGTTTGAACTAAAACGTAACATACCATCGCGCCTTTTATCTACACAGTGGTAGGCAGAGGTATACATTATGGCACTTGATGCCACTGTACTATGCAACACCCACTTTTCACTATTTATGTTATGAATTCCATGTAATAGGGGGTGAGCCTATTGCCATATACTGGGCACAATTCCAGACTCCATACTACTACTTACTACAGAATTATAAATAAAAACCAGTGGTACTTTGCCCGACTGGGGAATCAAACCCGAGACCCATTGCCCAGCAGTACCATTTATAAGCACTCGCCCAACAAGGCAGTCATAAACTTAAAACTGAACTAAAAATATAAATTAAACTTGTTTACCGAGTGAATTATCTTGATCCTTAAACCAAGTAAAATCGTTATCTTCTTCTTTTTGCAGATGTGGAAAGTTAATTTGTATATTATCACATATTGTCTTCAAAACATCATTATGACAGTCAGTAAGCACAATAGATTTGTTATAACAGTGCTTAGAAATTGTTATTCCAGTGAATCCTACTCCAGAACCCAATTCCAACACATTTTTATTTAAGAAAATGTTCTTGTTGCATAGAGCCCAATCGGATAACATTAAAGCAGCCTGGAACAAAAAACAATTAAAATGTTTAAGAATAAAATTAACATAACATAACATAACATCACGCCTTTTATCCCCGAAGGGGTAGGCAGAGGTGCACATAGAAGTAACACCCACTTTTCACTATTTATGTCATGAGTCCCATGTAATAGGGGGTGAGTCTATTGCCATATACCGGGCACAGTTCCAGACTCCGTGCTACTACTGAGATTTTTAAAAAACCCCAGTAATACTTTACCCGACCCGGGAATCGAACCCGAGACCCCTTGCCCGGCAGTCGCACTTGCGACCACTCGGCCAATGAGGCAGTCAAGAATAAAATTCTATAGAAATAAAGGTAGAAAAAAATGCATGCTGTATATGAATTATTATAATGTAGTCTTAGAAATAAGAGATGACGAACCTTTCTTGGACTAATAACTTTTTTTTATAAAAATAGAAATATATGTTAATATAATAACAAACCTATTAAGTTCAAAATACCTCCCAAGTCTTCAACCCCGTTGTTCCATTGACCACCATATTCTTTGTTTCTTTTATAGTAATAACATTGTTAATATCATTTCCTATCAAATAATGCCGGTAACTAAATCCATCTTTATCTATGTTATTCATACTAGTACATAAATGTTCGTAGAGTTCGTCATGGACCTCCTGGTTTGGTTCCAAATGCTGAATTATTTTTTTGAGAAACAAGCTGGCAAACTTGCTGCTTATTGGATACTCTTTTATTAATTTACTGTTCACTGTTGCATCTAAAAACTCCTGCTGCCAACTCCAGTCCATTTTTTCCACATCCTCTGGCTAAAATTGAAAATATATTTATATTGGTTAAAAACTAGATTATTCATTGACATCAAAATAATTAGTGAAGTATTAATTATTATTACTCCATGTGTTATTCTTACCAATAAAGTGAAGTTAAGATTCCCTTGATAAAAATATTGGATAAACTTTTTTAAAGAACTTTTCTGACATGCTTCGAAATCAGTGGTCATCATGAACAGTGCATTTAATAACAACTGAGTCAGCTTTGTAATTAATTTATTTAAAAACTAATCCATACGTACATATATACTGAAAAAAAATAAAAATTTGTGAAAACTTGAAATTCTTGAAAAGATAAGTTGATTAATAAAAAATGGATTTTTTAGTCTATGGAATAAGAAATGTCAATTTTCAAAACTAGAGGTGTAGCATGAAGCATAGATAATTAGGCGAGTTTCAATGATATGAATAACCAGTGTTGCTTGTAAAAAAATATTCTATGTCATATGTCATGTCAAAGTTCATTCAAAATGTTGAAGTTTACAGTTTTGCTTGTTTACAATGAAAATAAATGAAATTGAAGAGGAAATTTAGTGATTAGTTAGAGTTTTTCGTGTAGCTAGTAAATAAAATAAAATCATGGAATCTGCGGCCCCTAGATTAAGGAAGCGCAAAGCTGTAGAATATATCGAAGACGATGATAATGATAGTGTTGATGAAGAAACTCCAAAAAAGAAAGTTAAAGCCGCCGCAAAAGCTTCGAAAGTTAAAGAAAAAGTTGAAAAACCATCTAAACCTAAAGCAAGTACAAGTTCGAAAGGTATCAAGAAGACGGAGGCTATAGAAACAAAGACATCACGGAGTAAAGTAACCAAAAAAGCTGTTGAGAAAGATGTAGATATCATTGATTTTAATGATAATAATGATCACATACACAATGTATGGGATGAAGCTGAAATGCTAGCACAAGTGGAGAAAATCCCCTTACATGTAGCAAAAAATTTAATAGGTCTACTTACAGAAGGCTGCACCTTGCCATTTATAGCCAGATACAGAAAGACTGCGGTGGATAATTTAATGCCCGATCGGTAATTATTACAGCACATTTTGTTTTTCAGAATACTGAAATTCTTTTAATAATTTTATATGAATCACAAGTGTCTTAGGTTTTATTTTCTACCCCAAAAAGCCTAAATTAACTAATTTATCTTATAGATATGGTTAATATTGTTAGTAATACTAGAAACTGGCTTTGTTACCAGCCAGAACCAATTGACAACCATAAATACTTAATTTTTTCTCAAAAGTTAAATTATTTAAAAATGAATTAACCCTCGTGAGATACAGGGTAATATGCAGGTATAAACAAAAAATGATCTTTTGGTCATTTATTTAAATATAATATTACTTAATTGTTTTTAAATATATTGTGTCATTCTAAATATAAAATTCCTAGCCTGCAAGAATTACACGAAAGTTATGAAAACATAACACATCTAAAGAAGAAAGTGAAGTCTGTTATTGAGACTTTGAAGAAATCTAAAAAGCTGACACCTGATATAGAAAAAGGTGTATTGAATGCCCGTAACTTGTCTGAACTTGATTTGATTGTAAGTTTTTATTTTAATTTTGTATAATTTCATCCATTGGTATCGGGGCTTCATTCATGCTTTTTGGGCTTCATTGAAATAACTATTATTGACTATCATCGTAATATCATCAAAAGACACACAATCAAAACATTTTGTTCTTGTTTTGATGACTGTGACTAATATTTACTATTTTTTTTTACATATTATGTTGATACTGAAAATCCTCATTTGTTCATACAAAAGTAGTCTCTAAACACTGGAAATAAGGTCTATAATCAAGTTGGTGGAGAGCGGTCACCATTGGCCGCTTGGGAATTGAACAGTTAACTATCTAAAATCAATATAACAGCCACATTCTGTTTCAGTATGCACCACTAAAAACACATTCATTGTCACTTGCTGAAAGGGCCCGCAATCTTGGCTTGGATCCATACGCAGTAAGAGCATTGAATGGAGAGTATATTGACTTGAATACATTATGCGGTAGCAATGAAGAGCTGGCAACAATTGACAAAGTAGAATCTCATATAACTCATATTGTAGCTGATATTATCTATAAGGATACCAGGGTTTTAGAACATATTAGGGGACTGTAAGTATTAACTAATACCTTATAATTAAACTGTTGAACATAGTAAAATGCCTTAACACATATCCAGTAATTAAAAAAAAATTATAATTATGTTTACTAATACATAAAATATGAATATTCCCAAACAATTAACGATGGGTTAACTTCTCTTGAACTGTCTCGCTTCCAAAAAGTTCTGATCATGAAAATAAATAAAATGGAAATAATCATACCTAATCATCATTACATTTCAGCTGCTAAAGCTACTTTACGTAAAATTATATTTCAGCAAAGAAGAAACAAGGTTTACAATAACAAGTAATAGAACTAAAAGTTCAACAAAAGATAAAGTAGATGATAAGAAGAAATTAGACAATAAGTCAGATCCTGATAACTATAAACTGTACTTTGACTGGAAGTGCCCCAGTCACTTTGTGAAACCACATCAAATCTTAGCACTGAACAGAGGGGAGGATGAGAAAATATTATCAGTTAAAGTTATTGTTCCTGATTGGTTTTATAACAGACTTGAAAGGTAAATAGTTTAATCCTTCTTTTAAGACTTAAAGAAAGAAAGATTTAACAATATAAAGTATAGTAGATTTCCTCGGAAATGATGAATCTGAAGGACAAAAGTTTAAAGATAACACATTTGTAGATAATAAAAAGAACTGTAATTTTTTTATCTAATATACTATTTTATCATAGTCTGTTTTGCAAATAAACCCATAGAACCTATTTTTAAAAACTTAGACATTGTATTATCTTGCAACAAATTAGGACTTATTCAAATTTCGTCATTCAATTTTCAGATTTTGTCTAACATTATGGAAAAGTAATTTTTGGGTGCGCAAAGGCCTTGGCGATGCATACAACCGTCTGATAAAGCCGTGGCTGTCGAGACACGTGCGGTCCGACCTGACTGCTACTGCGCAGAAGGAAGCAGTCAAAACATTCACCACTAATCTGGAGAAGTATCTCCTAACTGAACCTATTAAGAATAGAATCATTATGGGCTTGGATCCTGGGTTCAGAGCGGGTTGTAAGGTAATATTTATCTTAATGTAATTAGGTACCTAATAATAAATAATGTGTTCATTGTTTGAACTCTCAATGCAATTCCTAGATATATAACGGAATACTGAAATGTTACTCAATTTTAAGTCGTGCTAAAATATCGTGCCATCTCTGTCATTTTACAAAGAATTTGTGGAGACAGAACTATACTTAAGCGGGACTTAAAATTGAGTAACGTTTGAGTATTTCGACAATAGGCTATTGAAAAACCTCAATGATGTCTTTATAGTACTAAGATGCTTAGGTTAGATATAATATTAATTCCATTTATTCCAGGTTGGTATAATAAATGCAAATGGAGAAAAACTGGACGCGTGTACCATATATCCAGATTTGAGGCAGCAAAAAGCGTTTGATCCCGCGGCCAAACAGATAAAAGACATGATAACTCAGTATGGGTAAGTTTAACTTGATACAAAACAAGCGTTGTTTCACGTCGAGCCGGACGATTTATGCCGAAGGATGGTTCTCCCACACTTCATTTTATTTACTCACTAGCTTTTACCCGCGGCTTCGCTCGCGTCACAAAAGGAAAAAAGTAGCCTGTGACGTAATAACATACCAATACACACAGCGCCACTTTTGTTTTTCCTGGGGAATATCACATTTTTTCCGAGATAAGAAGTATCCTATTATTTAATCCGGACTTCTAACTTTACGTCTGCAAAAATTCGAAGCAATCGGTTTAGTAGTTACGGCGTGAAAGCGGAACAAACAAACAAACAAACTCACTTTCCGATTTATAATATTAGTAAGGATCTCAGTTCACAAAAGAAAAAATTGAATTCTTCTTTTGTATTGTATTTCTTATAATAACATTTTATTATTTTTGCAGTGTAGAGTTGATTGGTTTGGGAAATGGTACAGCCTGTCGTGAAACGGAATTATGGCTAAAAAGTAATAATATATGCGATCAAGTTCCTATTATTATTGTTCCCGAACAAGGCGCCTCTATTTACTCTGTTAGCAAGGAGGCTCAGAAGGTATGATAATGCAGACTTGTACCAATTTTGTTTTATTTTAAATATATGGGTTACATCCATTTTATCGTACAGTTGGTGTGGTAGTTGAGCAATCGGCTGTCGTGCAACTTGTAGTGTGTTCGATTCCCGCATGGAAGCAACTCTTTGTGATCTACAAATTATTGTTTCGGGTCTGGGTGTCATGTATATGTGAATTTGTATGTTTGTAAAGAAGTCGGTTAATGAAGCCTTCACCCAGGAGAAATTGCTAGTGCGGGGCATCATTTAAAAATCGCATTTGTAATTGCAGGAACACCCAAACATGGATCCAAATTTAATATCAGCTCTGTCAATCGCCAGAAGAGTATTAGACCCCTTAGGGGAACTTATAAAAGTAAGTGATATCATCTTAAATGTCAATATTTATATATATGTACATTTGTGTAAATTGTTTATAACTGCCCTAATTATATGAATTATATTTCTAGGTGGAGCCCAAAAACTTAGGCGTTGGAATGTATCAACATGACATTCCTCCAAAAATGTTGGAGACGGCCTTAGACAGTGCTGTCGAGAAAGTTGTCAGTTTAGTTGGAGTTGACATCAATACTGCATCGCAAGCCATGCTTAGGTACGACACTTTTCTGTAACCTTTGTATAATAACTATCGTAATAAATGATATAAATTAATTGAAAATAACGGTTTAACTACTCACAATTGTATGACGTCGCCGCGTCTGCGCAGGCTGCTCATAAATAAGAGTCCCCTTATGACTTGAAACTAGTCGAGTTTTTCTGAACCAATTTTTTAATTAACACTTGTATAATGGTATCTAAATATTATCTTATAACATTTACGTTTTCATTGCTTATTTCCAGGCGTATATCAGGCTTGAACGAAGGAAGAGCTAAAAAAATCATCGAGTATCGCCAAGAGCATAACGGTTTTGAATCAAGAGCTGAGATCCTAAAGGTTACTGGCATTGGGAAGATAACATTCCAGCAATGCGCTGGATTCTTGACAGTGCTGGGTAGTTCGGAGCCCTTGGATACCACTATTATTCATCCAGAGAGTTATAAAATTGCAAAATCGTAAGTTGGAAAAACTATTAGTATATTTTTTTGCATTTCATTTTATTTTAAAAAAGCTCACCTTTCTAGTATTTAAGTTTCACATTTTAGGCTCGCACTTGTGAGTGCAAATACCATCTTTATATATGTATATAATTCTTCTGTGAGTGTGTATGTCACTGAACTTCTCTCAAACGACTGGACCGATTTTGATGAAATTTTTTGTGTGTGTTCAAGGGGATCTGGGAATGGTTTAGATTCACAAATCAGTACGGCAGTTGGCGCTGCAGTCGATGTTTAGGTTATTTATCCTAAACAGCTAAACTAATTTGATGAATTTTTGTTTATACATTCTAGTGGATATGCATGACAATATGACAACGTCTGTTGGGTCCGCTAGTTTTTCTATAAAATTCTGACTATCACAATCTTTTCAGATTCGCCAAAAAGATAGGAGTCAATATAAAAGATCTCACAAAACCGCACTTCCCGCAAACGGTAGAAACTAAAATATTAACTATAGATATAAGTGAAACTAGTGCAGAATTAAACACTGATGTGTGTACGCTCGAACTAATAATCAACGCATTCAAACAAAAGAAATATGAAGACAATGTGATTACGTTCTGTAAACCCGTTTATTCTGTTGCTGTGCAAAATGTGGACCAACTAAAGGAGGGTACCAGTTTGACAGGTAAAACATATGAAATCACTTTTTTATTAAATTATTATGTTTTCGGCTTACTCACGTAATTATTTGACGAGGAACGACTAGTTTCAAGCCATGCTAGAGGCTCATATTCATGAGCAGCATTTCGCGCTCCGCGACGCGGCGACTGTCACGCTGCTACGTGCCTCTAGCATGGCCTGAAACTAGTCGAGTTCCTCGTCAAATAATTACCTGAGTAAGCCGAAAACATAATAATTTCATTAGTATGTCTCACGAAAGTTATAATACCTACACTTTTTTATTATTATTATCTTATTTAATCTTAATTCTCATTCCTACCTTTTACCAATCTACAATATCTCGTAATAGTTTCGTGATAGTAATTCGAGTGATTTCTTAAACCTCGTCCCACTCTAGGATTTTCTCCTGTGTTGTGGGTGCGTTTATAAATATACAAGTTTACATACACGTCACACCCAGAGCCGAAACAACCATTTGTGGATCACATAAGAAGTGGCTCCGTGCGGGAATCGAACCAGTCACACGTTACGCGGCAGCCGGTTGCCCAGCCATTGCGTAAACCGTATAGTCGTTTGTTAGAGACTTTGAAAATTACAAAAATTTATTAATGAAACCGGCAAATTCAGGTGTACTGACAAACACTTGACAACGTATCTAATCGTAATAATCAGCTAATTTATTGTTCTAGGTGTCGTCCGCAATGTAGTTCCTTTCGGCTGTTTCGTCGACTGCGGCGTGGGAGACAATGGCCTCATCCATCGAAGCAACTTAGGTGGACATCAGACACCTAAACTCGGGGACAGGGTGGCGGTCACCGTGATATCGTCACCAAAACCCAAGAAAATCCAATTAAGATTAGACAAGATCCTCAACTAGACTGATACCAGTATGTATCTTAAGTTATTAATAATGTTGATTCAATAAATCAGTTTTCAAAAATAACTCTTTATTTAATTAAAATAATACGTGTTAAGTAAGTAACAATAATCATTCCGCTTCCATAATGGGAGACTGCTTAGCATTGAGACCGAAATTGTGAAACACTGCCTTGTTGACAATAGCATCACAAATTCCAGAAGTGACTCTGAAATTAAAAATAAATATAGGTAGGTATTAGAAAATAATCACATTTCGATTGCATGAATATAAGTACTATCAATTTTTATATGTCGTTTTGTCATTTACAAAACTATATTAAACAAAGCTGAATAGTTTGTTTGTTTGTTTGTTTGATCGCACTAATCTTAGTAACTACTGGTCCAATTTGAATAATTCGTTTTGTGTTGGATAGTGGATTTATCGAGGAAGGCTATAGATTATAGATACATTACGCTACGATCAATAGGCGCCGAGCAAAGCGGGTAAAATCGCGCGGGATATCTAGTAATTTGATAAATTAACGTCTTCCATACCTTCGACTCAACTTCGGCTTGATCTCCCTTGTGTACACCTTCATAGTTTGTTCATAAGTCGGTACTTCCTCTGTGGAGTAGTATTCTATCTGGCATTTAAACATTTTACTGTGCATGGCGTCCCTGTAATTCCATTGCAAATATTAAAATAAGGCAGAAAGCACAATAGCCAAAGAGTTTGGAAAATGGACCTTATATTAGGCATGTTTAAGGTTAAATCTTGTAAGATAGAATGAAAATATGTTACCATAAAATTCCGTCTATAATTCTAAGTATATCGGTGACAGTCATACTGTTGCCTGTTGTAGGACGTTCCGTATTGAACTCGGTCGAGTCTGATGCCAGTAAATCGTATGGAGGTGGCTGAAGATAAAGCGTTCAGATTTAATCGAAAGCTCAGCAAAACATGACTTCAGGAAAATAATGAAGGGAAAAGAAAGCCAATGATTTTAATTCATGGATTTGATTAGCAATGATGATGAAATTAAGTAAGATGGCAATTCCATAGTCTAACTAAAATCGCGGGTTACTCACGTGAATAAACTCAGAAAAGCTCTACTAGTTTCGAACCACACCAGCGACCGCCATGACCGCGCACGCTGCTTATGAGGAAGCCCACTGTAATTCGAAACTAGTAGAGCTTTTCTCAGTATATTTACGTGAGTAACCCGTGATTTTAGTTAATTTAGTATATCTCATGATATTTATTATAAAAACGATTCCATAATCACTGTGTATTTTTACTTGACTACGGCGAAGCCAAAAGAAGGATTATGATTGGTACTTATGCATATTCATCTGTTCCCTCCTAACTCTTAAACTACTAGTCATAATTTGATAAATGGGGCATCATAAGTCCGCTGGTTATAAACAGCCTAATAACTTGTCTATATATTATACTAGCGACCCGCCCCGGCTTCGCACGGGTGCAATATGTATATACATACAAACCTTCCTTAAGAATCACTCTATCTATTAAAAAAAACCGCATCAAAATCCGTTGCGTAGTTTTAAAGATCTAAGCATACATACGGACATACAGCGAAAGCGACTTTGTTTTATACTATGTATTGATATACATACATATAAATGAATCCCTTTTTCCCGTGGCGTGACCAAACGCCATCGCGCATGAATGGCTGGACCGATTTCACAAATTCTTTTTTTTTTGTTATTATTAGGAGAATAACTTAAAAAAATCGTGAAAATCGTATGGGAACGGGAGAAAACATGATTGTGCGTACGAAGTCGCGGGCAGAAGCTAGTTTTATATAATTTTATGTAGCCCATAGGCTAAATTGCATATGGCGCCGGTTATAGATCAAAAAAAAAATAGTATCTACATTATATTGGTATACTCCCACGGCTGTCCTCTAAACATTATACAGTATAATGTATAAATATAATTTTAAAATAAAAAATGTCTTGTATTGACTTTAAGTTACCTGTTGCCACATTTGTTTTATCAGCATTCTCGGGTATCCATCTCGCTGGCCTTTCGAAGACACTGACACCGTCATTGCCAAGTAGCTTGGTTGGGGATATTCTAAATCCAGCACATACGGCGGGGAATCGTTTATACCCTAAAGTTAGGAAATATTCTAGTTTATATTAAAAATGTCGTGAGACGTGTTTATCCCCCCCCCCCCAACCCCTAGGGGGAAGGGTCCCCAATCCCCGAATCCCCAACCATCCTCAAACCCCTAATCCCCAAAAGCCCGGTAACACACTAACGCACTTGTAACGCCTCTGATGTTCCAGGTGTCCATGGGTGACGCCGATTGCTTACCATTGTGATCCGTATGCTCCTTTACTGGCTTATGCCATAAAAAAAAACATACATACTAAATTAATTATTGTTTTCGGCTTACTCACGTAACTGTAGTCGCCGCGTCGCGTGTCGCGGAATGCTGCTCATGAATATGAGCCTCTATCATGGCTTGAAACTGGTCGAGTTACTCGTCAAACAGATACGTAGGTAGCCGAAAACATAATCTCATTTCAATTGTAACTAAGCTTTATCAAAAAGGAATAAAGGTTATTTCTGAATGTTACTGAATTAAGTATATAATAACTCACAGGGTGGAACATTCCTTCTTCAGTTATAATGAACTCTTGGTTACATTTTTCGATTTTGTTTCGCCTCTGAAGTTTGTTTTGTTGATATATCTTACGATTTGTCAAATCTAAAATCTCGCAGGCGACAGTCGTCCTGTTGATATTACAGAAAATATCTAACAGAACTCGAATCTTTCTATTTTATTTTAACAATCCAAAGACGAAATAAAAAAGGGCTTATCTAGTTTATTTGAAAAAAAAATTACTATTAAAAATGATTACGAAACAAAATATTTATGTTGTCATACGTGAATGTGGCAGGCTCCTGGAGCGTGTAGGCAGTCATTGTAATCCATTCCGAACTCTTGGGCTGAATCACCCCCCAGCATGGCGTCATCACAACGTTCAAGATATTTGCTATTCTTTCTCTACAAATATAAATATAGGTATACTTATTTGTGCTTAAATGTAATTAAATGTGATGAAATGTCCGTATTGTTGGTGAGAAGCACCCACCTACCTAGTCAAAGTGTACAGATTAGTAGATAAATGTTAGATATAAGTATTAGGTACAAGTACCTAATAGACCTACCGTGTATATTAAACTACAACTAAGAATTAAACTGCGTTGTATAAAACATCTAAACTAAACTACACTTATTCTATTTCTATATAAAACGATATTTGATCAAGAAAATATCAATCACACTAATATTATAAATATGAAAGTTTCTTTGTTTGGATGTTTGTCCGTCAATCACTACTAATAAAATTTGATATAGGCACAGGCAGGGTATGGGCTGACTTAGGATACTTTTTATCCGGATTAAATGCTCCCATGGTATAAAACAGGAATCATATTCTACGCGGACGAAGTCGCGGGCAACAGCTAAGTAGTTAAGTAATATAATACGCTTTTCTTCTACTTACGGTAGCCAAATGAACCTCATGATGTGGTCAGTGTCGTTGTAGATGCTTATTATGTCTCTAGACAAGGAGTGCGTCGACATCACCGGTAGAGTCAGATGTTCCATCGAGAGATATACCTGAGCAAAATGTTTAGTAAACTGTAGAGTCCCTAAAGGCCAATTTTACCAAACCAAAGTAAATTTTAACTACGGAATAACTTTGAATATTTGATAATTCTTCCATACTAAAAACTGTCAAATGTATATTTTATTCTGCAGTTAAGAATTAACTGATGATTGAAAATTAGACCCTAAATACTCTTCGAAATATGTCAATAACGAATTTTTCGTGCGATGATGAACTCATTTTCTTTCACGTAATTATATAATTGAGTATATTTCTATTATAATATTTCTCCTTTATAGTTTTGAGGCAGACTGCCTCGTTGGCCGAGTGTCGCAAGTGCCGAGGAGGGGTCTTTGATTCCCGGGTCGGGCAAAGTATTACTGGGTTTTTTATAAATTCTCAGTTGTATCACGGAGTCTGGAATTGTGCCTGGTATATGGCAATAGGCTCACCCCCTATTACATGGGACTCATAACATAAATAGTAAAAAGTGGGTGTTACATTATACAGTGGCATAATGTACACCTCTGCCTACTCCTTCGGGAATAAAAGTCGTGATGTTATGTGTATGCAGTTTTGAGGCAGACTTTAAGGAGAACTGACATCTTTAGTAAAAAACACGATATTTCTTACCACTTCTTGCCTGTGCGCCTCTCTGATGACCCGTTCAACATATATTGGAATGTCCAGTCTGGTCTCGATACAGTTTGGCAGACCTCCTTGCCCTTTCACTTGAATCCTTTCATTTTCGTAGCCGAAGGAACAGAGGAATATCACCTACAATACAATATTTAATAATTAATTATCTATGTATTTACAAAATCTTCAATTTCCTTTTTTTATGGCATAAGCCGGTAAACGAGCAGACGCATCACCTGATGGTAAGCAATCGGCGTCGCGCGTCGCCCATGGACACTTGGAACACCAGAGGCGTTACAAGTGCGTTACCGGCCTTTTGGGGATTGGGAGTTTGAGGATCATTGGGGATTCAGGAATTGGGGAGATTGGGGAAGGGGAGGGTAATTGGGCCTCCGGTAACCTCACTGACACGACGAAACACAACGCAAACGTTGCTTCACGTCGGTTTTTTGTGAGGCCGTGGTATCGCTCCGGCCGAGCCGGCCCATTCGTGCCAAAGCATGACTGCGTGGGACACTTATACCTGCAACGCTTCGGTTGATTTTTAAAATACCTAGAAGGAGCTGTTTCCTCGTTTAGGTCCTTTAATAAAGTAGGAATACCTAAACTAGCAAGCTTTTATATTTCTAGTAATTACTTGTCTTACCTCATAATCTATCATTTCCGTGGGCATAAAAGCAAATGGTATGGCTAGTTTTCCAAGGGGCGGTACTTCAGCAAAGTAGAGCAAACAACGGATCACAGAATCTGGGTTAGTGTTACCGCGAAGTAAACGCCAAGTAGTGAACACATCAGTAGGGTTGTACAGCCATACAATCTAAAATATGCTTCACAATTAACAAAATGTTTTCTTAATAATCTTCGGGAGTAATTTATCTAAAACTAAATGGAATTCTATATTCAAAATCCAAAGGTGGCGACCCAAAAACAGTCTTACGAAAATTACCTATTGCAACTTTTTGCAATGGTTCCTTCTAAGATAGGTGATGAACCTTCTTTTAAACTTATCAACGTAGCGTAAACATAAATTAGGTACATCAAGGAGTAGTAATGACACCTAATTCCTAAAAAAGTTATAAAAACTATGAAGGATCGAAAGTTTATAGGAACACATATTCTTCCGATCCTTCATACCACAAATTCTCCTTTAGCCTAAAAAAATAAAAACTACTCACCCTTATAACTGGATCCAGATTATTAATGGGCACTCTACCACAGTCCAGTACCGCCAAATATTCGCCTACTCCCACAGGACGACGCAATGGCGTCAACAATCCTCTCGTGTTCAGATACGCGTAAATGTGAACGTAGATATAAATTGTTCTTTGATTCGGCATTGTCATCACATAACACAATGTGTTCAGTCCTTTACTACAGTAGGTGAATTTTAGATACAGCAGGTTGGGATTATCAGGCTACAAAAACATCTTTAAATAAGTTAGTTTTGCTATAGAGTCCTGCAGCTGTAGCCAAATGCCATTTAGCGCTTGTCTACATGTAGAGTAGAAAACGAAATAATATGGAATTGATGTAAATTTTGACGCTTGTCAGTGTCATCCTCATACATTTAGTTTTCTACTCTCTCGGTAGACAAGCGCTAAAGTGGCGTTTGGCTAAAGGCACTGTATAGACTGTTATATCAGACAAAAATAAAAAAAAACTTTATCTTAGCAGTGTTAAAAATGGTTATGAGAAATTACCGAAACAATCCCGCTTAAGGGGTACAATTCCACCAGCTGTCTATGAGGGCAGGTGTGTCTCATTTCGTACCTTGAGGTCGCTATTTTCACTTGTATCATATTACAGTCACAAATCTTCTCTCTACGGAGACTCCAAGGTACAGGAACTTGGTACACACAGCCCATTACAAATACCAGCTCGACGTGGTCAGTTCGGACACATAAATCAGGAGCGTAAATATTGACACCGATTGGATTATTAGGGCGACAGTCCACAAAAGCCTGATTAAGTCTAGAAATGGCAAAAAATATTTATAAATTGTTATGAAATAGACAATAACTTCCCAAGGACTTGAATGAGGGTATTTGGCTACTGTAAACGGGTAGAAGTTTCCTACCTCTATATGGCATTTAATCTATAGGACTCATTAAAAGTGAAAAAGTTAAATTCTTACGTACTCTTCAACATTGACGATATTCCAGACGCAATGATTACTGAGAATTACTGGACATTTATTTGATAGTGTGCGCTTCACCTGAAACCGAGTTGTTTTTCATTCAAGATAGAAGTTAAATTCTATCCTCCTGCTACCAATTTCCCATTTTATTTGATCTTCTGATCACACAATATCCGTTGAGTTACTTTTACTATATACCTACATACTTACCTTAATTGTCGGATAAATCCCATCGTAAAAAAGGGTACATATCTTAGTTTTAATTGGCTGTATCTCCTCAACTTCATCATTTTCCGTGCGGTAGAGGACAGTGTACTTGATACGAAGTCTCCGTGATCCGGCCCCGTCAGGAGTTACCGTCATTTTAACGGTGCAGTGATTCGATGGTTTCAAACTATTCTGTTTGGGTAAAGATATTTGTAAAGTTAAAATCTGACAATGCTTCTTGCTTTTTTAACTACCTATCGAATGTAGAAAATTCCATGGTTTAGAAACGTTTCAAAAAAGACAAAAGAACTCACCACTGATGAATCGATTTCAAGTCTATCGCATGTATAGTCGTCTCCCATACCTTCAATAGTATGGTACAACTTAGACGTAAAGTAACAAGAGCCATTGTTGTACAGAGTCACGGGGAACGTGACGCTTTCCCCGACAACAACATCGTGGAAATTATAGTCCTTTGGCAAAATCTGCAGGACGCAAAGGAAGACGTTGTAAGTGTGTATCGACTTAAATGTTTACTCCTATTTCATTTACTAACCCTCAAATCAGGAAATTCCGAAAAGCCAGAAATGGCAATAAACACTTCAGTCGGTTCCCCGACCGCCCTAAAATAATGAGGCTTTTTAAGATCATTTTCAGATATTTATGGAGTGTTGGTTCATTGTAGACGAATAGAAAGAAATACTTATAGGTAACAACTCACTGTCCTTTGATCAAGCAGACGCAGGTTAAAGTTATGGTCGTTTCATATACTTTGTCAGGGATTTTGGGGAAGAACCACCAATGAAAATGTATGATTTCTTTAGGTGGAAGAATGAGAGATCCGCAGCTATCAGCTCCCATCCAGTCGACATTACATAATACTCGAATACTAAAATTAACTCAAGAATTAAACGGAGCTTTACCTAAAATGTTTTTACGACTTTATAGCATATATGGACATATTGGACATACTGCATTTCCATCCGAGTGAGGTTGTGAAGGTATGAAGTGCAATAGTTGGTGCAGCCAGTGATCGTAGGAGGGAACTCCAGCATCGCATGCGTTGCTGGATGGTAACCATGGGACATTACCTCCACTTGACTCATTTCTGCGTTACCCGTGAAGCTGATAGATGTCTGTTGATATAACAAACGATACAATGCTTTTTAGAGTAGATATCTTTTTGAATCTGTTTCAATTGGTCTTTATGACCGACAGCGCGAAAAGAAAGAATAATTAAAAGGCACCTTCAGTAGCTATACCTACGTAATGTATGTACCTACTTTATTATTATAACCGACTTCATGTAATCTGAAGATTGCCTCGTTGGCCGAGTGATCGCTAGTGCGACTACCGGGCAAGAGGCCTCGGGTTTGATTCCCGGGTCGGGCAAAGTATTACTGGGTTTTTAAAAAATTCTCATTAGTAGCACGGAGTCTGGGATTGTGCCCGGTATTAGGCAATAGGTTCACCCCCTATTACATGGGGCTCAAAACATAAATAGTGAAAAGTGGGTGTTACATTGTACAGTGGCATAATGTACACCCCTGCCACTGTTCACTGAAGGGGTAGCCCTTCAGTGATAAAAGGCGTGATGTTATGTTATGTTATGTAATCTGAAAACTCTTGGTAAAGTCACACCTACTAACCTTTTGCACCTTGTTAATAATAAGGTCCCACGCTTCGCAATAATCACCAAAACATTTTGGTTCCAAACCTACTGATATAATCTGCCATCCGCGACCCGGAACGATTCCACAAACTGGCATTACTACATAATTCCTTCAAACAATTCAAATTAATGAGAAAGCATCAACTAAAACATACATTTCCATCAGCTAAATAAATAAAAAAATATTTGATCACTTTTAAGAACTAGTAAAGACTTAAAATGTCACTTACGTGCCGTACGGTGGATCGAATTTAAAATGCATAGGAATTTCAAACTTGTTTGACAGCATGAAATTAGCGAAAGTGGACCTGGTTGGTACTGTTGGTGGCAGAATTACCTAGAGACGACAGCAGTTGATAAGTACATACTTACTATAAACATATAACACTAGGGAAAACTCATTCGAATACGTAAACGAATACCTCAGAGGGACAGTCCCATTCCGTCACCCATTCGGTACAAGGCATCCACGTGTTGCCCGTACACGGAATACGAAACAATGAGTGCTTCAGCCTGATCTCATCAGTAACGCTTACAATTTTTTTAACCTGATAGTCTCCGCACATGAGGTACCCATACACTTCATTCTCAATTTTAGGCCTAATAAACAAAATTTATTAAAGTAAGCCATGGTTTAAAAAAACTTTAGTAATAGGTACCAATAAAGTTCACACATACCGGTATCTGACAGTAAACAGTCTTGATTCATTTGGAGGTATAATAGAAGCTATTGGGTCTACTAAGAATATGTTATCAGGATCTGAAAATTTGTTCATTAAGTACTTGATATTAATGAGTAACTACGACGTGTGAAGTAGGTCTAAGTACTAACTTATGTTTACTTGACTAATTTCAATTTTAAACACAAGATTCTAATTTTATAAAACCGAACCTGGCATCCATTGTATGTAGCCCTCTTGGTCTTCATGATTGGTGACACAAATTGTTTGTGATATGTTCCTGGTGGCATCCGTTACACTGCCCGTACCGAAGTCAAGATATCTTTCAAACACCGTAGCAGACGGTATATAAGTCAGTCGGTTCAGACTATTCTCCATTAAATGGACGGTGCGAGACTTGTGCTTCCAATTCTTCACAAATACATGCTCTCGGATACTAAGTAATGGGTTTCCAGGTAAAACGACTGTCGCATACACATTCAAGAATAAGGGATGCTGAAATTACGCGTAGACTGCGTTAAAAGTATGGACAATAAAATAATGGGACCAAATTGGATTCATCATAATGGATTAGAAAATTGCACCGTTTATCCTATCGAGTCATTTGAAGAACTGACAGGAAGAAAACTGCGAATAGTGCGATGCCAGTCTATTGTATGGTCGTATAGGTAGATAGCTGTTTAGTTTTAGCAAGCCACTTGTTATTACGTGATATGAATGATGACACCAGTCTCGTAGGAAATATTTTCAAAATAAACCAGATGCAGACTATTGCACGCACTAAATGGCACTCTGTAGTCACGTACTTCCTATGTGGCCATGGTGGCTTTGTTCCATCATCCATGGCAGAGATGATCATGTTGGATTATGAGTGTATTAGTTTGATTTGGACCCAACTTAAACTGACCCCTGATAAATTAAAATGGTAATGTTAGCGTACCTGATGAAGGACCAAACAGACCAGCTCTCCAGTGTATATTCCAAGAGGTATTCCAGTGAACATAACCGTAGTTGTTATAGTTTCGAAAGCTCTGATGAGACCACAGTTGCCTGTCGAAATCTAATTGAAATTTTACTTTATAATAGGTGACTTTATGAATAGGTAGGTACCTACTAAAGATGTGTTAATAAAAGATCTTACTTGGAAACATCCTTGACCAGAAGCAGGCATATACCACTGGTACGTTGTATCCACAGACGATTTGTTTACAATATTGATCACCTCCTTTCTTTGTTCCGTTACATTTTTACAAATTCGAAAGACCAATTTCTTTTTATCAAGCTTTACTCTTGGACCTATGGATAAGAAACGCGTATGTATGATGTATTCGTTGCGCAGTAAACCTTTAAGAAACGTAACATTGACTGATTAAAATATTCTTTGTATTTCTCTTCAATAACTAAAGTATAGGCACCTATTGTTATCAAACAGAGAGTTGGAACTATTAGATTGGAAATATAATCATTTCGCTATCTCACCATAGCTTCTTCCAGTGACAGTGAGCCTATAAGTATTGCCACTGGTGTCATCCACAAGATAGTATTCAGTGAACGATTGTCCCACAATGTTGGGTTTGAACACAATCTTGATTCGGGCAACTTCACCTGGCTGCACATAGCTCGACGTTATGGATATGTTGAACACATGATCCACGCTGTTCAGAATATAGATATTTGACACCCTGTATGTTAGGCCTTTCTGTAATATAATAGCAGATCTTCTGTTAGGGGCCTAGAATCTATGGAAGAGGGGAGTAGTCCTAAATACCTAAGAAAATGCTGTTGACGCAATGTGTAACCTAACAAATTTTACATTTATTGTGGGTAAATATGCAGAAGTTAACTTACATCAGTAGTATTTTCAATGCCTATCGTTTTCTCCACAGCAGTATCTACTGGAATACTCCCAAAGGCTACTACTTTAACATCAGATATATTTTGTTCAAATATATCCAGGGTTTGGTTGTTATTACATAGCGTTGTCATTTTTTACTTCGTTATGCTTGCCTATAACTTAATAAACAATCGATTATAAATCATAAATGTTTTATTTATACTGTTTATCAGCCAGTCGGTTACGTAAAATTCAAATAATTGATTGTAAAATTTGATTCATCTTACTATTTTCATTTTCAAGTTGGACTTTATTTTTAAAATTAGCGCTAACGATAGAATAACTTGAAATAGCCACCGAAAAACATTGAATCAGTATAAAATAAAAAGTAAAGAGATTTTAAACAGAATAATTATTAATCTTAATAAAAATTAATTAATTTGAAATATCAATTAATATTATTATTTATTAGGTATTTTTCAGATTTTTTTCTAGTTGTTTTTTGTTTAGTCGATTATTACTAGTATTGCCATATAAGAAATAAATAAGAACCAAGGGCTTACTCTACGTTTGAGAATAGAAAGAAAAGTAACAACTGTCATTCACGGGTAAATATGAAATTAGGTGTCTCAATCGAGTCTCAATCTTATTTATAATATTTTTTTTTACTAAATGTGAATACATCGAACAAACAGTAAGCATTTACTACTATTCTATCTTCTAATTGCTTGTGACAAAATAAGTTGTTAACATAATTTTCCTAGAACTCCCATAAAAACTTGCAACCATAATTATTCTGGTTTGTGCAGTAACAGCCATCGGACACATCCTTTGCAACGAACGACTACTTCCTGCTCGAGATGCGTTTATTCTACGTTTATCCAAATTGCAGTGAAGCATAATTTACAATGGATTCTGGAACAGATTGGCTCTGTGAGATTCTACAGAATGTTCAACTTGAACAATTTTATTTACCCATCAGAGATCAGTTGCAGGTATGTCATAGTGTATTCCAAATTCATTTTTACACTTATCCTTGAGCGGTATTCAATAACTGTCGGGATAATTTGCCCATAAACAGTTTAATTGATTAAGAACTTACAGTTGAACTCAAAACATCTCATGTTTGCTATTGTTTATGTTTTAGATTACAAGACTAGCACATTTCGACTACGTGCATGCTGAAGACCTTGAGAAGCTTGGCATCAGTAAGCCTGGAGTGCGCAGGTTATTTGATGCTGTCAGGAAAAAGAAGTTACAGTTATGGAACAGAAAGTTTTGGAACAAATTATTTGGTTCATCATCAAGCTCAGTTTCTAAGGAGAAAACTGATTTAGCAGTGAGAACACCACAGGCAGACTCAAGAACAACTTGTATTATACTTGAGAAGGATATTATGTGAGTACTGGCCTTGTATACTTTCAAAGAATCATAAGGAAAATGATTCACTTCATTTTACTAAAGATTTCCTGTAGATAGACAGCATTGATATGTCACTCAAAATGTTATTGATCTAAGAGTAATATAAGTAGTCTAATATGAAAATAATTTTCTTATAAGATTGTGTTGTTAATCTTATAGATGTTATAAAATTTCAGATTTCAATAAATAGGGATCTAGATTTGGTATAATATTAAATTAAACAAAATTATGTCTGCTTAGCCGATTTATTAGAAATTAACAATTAGATATTTTAGATATTTATTTATAAATTTATATACAACACATAGACAGTACACAGGAGAACAAATTTACAAATAAATTCTCTAATTTATTTGTAAATTTGTAGGAATCTATGTTATGTCTAGTTATGTTATGAATCGAAAGTTATGTTGAAGATTAAGCGAACTGATGAAGCGATTGTTTTGTTCATGAAACTTGCCTTGTTCTATTTTAGTTATGAGCTTTGTGTTAATTAAATAAACTGAAAAAACAACATGATGTCAATACATATTATAATTACATAATAAAGCAAGTCTTACATGGCTTCCTCATATATGTTGTTATAATTTGTAAAGCAGTTAGCTGGCATTGTTGTGTAGTAAACAAATATTATGAATAAATAAATGTAGGACAAAGCATTGTGATGTGACTGAATAGCTATTATCTTAGGGAAAATTATAAGTAATATGATATCTGATTGACTTATTTTATTGCAGATTGCACAGTGAGATTGGAAATGGGTCTTTCGGTGTTGTGAAGCGAGGAGAATGGAGGGTGTCTGAACACCCATCACAAACAGTTCCTGTAGCAGTTAAGGTGTTAAAGGCAGATGCGTTCTCACAACCAGGCATCTATGATGACTTCAGGAGGGAAGTGGAGGCGATGCACAGTTTGAAACATCCAAACCTGATCAAACTCCATGGCGTAGTGTTCCATCCGTTGATGATGGTGTGTGAGCTGGCAGCTATGGGCTCTCTACTAGATTATATTGTTGCTCAGAATGGCAAAGTGTCTCTGAACTACATCTACAAATGGTCAGAACAAGTTGCATCAGGAATGGCACATTTGGAGAAGCACAGATTCTTGCACAGAGACCTAGCTTGCAGGAATATTTTATTATCCAGTGTTGATTTGGTGAGTAAACTTTAATGACTCATAACTAAATACTTATTTACTGTGAAATATTGGAAAATGTGACTAAGCGAACGATGGGATGGGCAACCTATCCTTATAGTGTACTTATCAACTCAAATATGGTTTGTGTGACTAAGTATTGGCTGTTATGTATCTACTAGAATTGGGGATTGGCATTGATAACTTTGAAGTAGTAAAATGACAAGCAGTACTTACAATATTTATTTTTCTTTTAATACACAGAGTAAACATTTTAACAATTTTCTGTTGAAAGCTATAAGAAACCTCTTAACAACCTTAATAAAAAGCAGAACATGTTTTTTAAATGACAAAAATCATATAAGAATCATAATAATATCTCGTCTATCTAATAAGAAAACAAACTATAATTGTCAAGTTTTTGATTATTCCAGATTCTAACATAACAAAACATCATGCCTTTTTCACCAAAGGGGTAGGCAGAGGTGCACATTACGGCATTTAATGCCACTACAATATAACACCCACTTTTCACTATTTATATTATGACACCTATGTAATTGGGGGTGAACCTATTGGCATATACCGGTCACAATTCCAGACTCTGTGCTAGGCAGAGGTGTACATTATACCGTGGTACAATGTAACACCCATTTTTCACTATTTATGTTATGAGTCGCATGTAATGGGGGGTGAGCCTATTGCCATATTTTTTAAAAAACCCATTAATATGTCGTAGCTCTGTCGGGTTATTTTAAATTAAAACAGAAGACTGCACAATTAATAGGTTTAATTACTACAAATCAGAATCAAGACCGGCTCGCACCGATACAAAGAAATGCCCGAATGCTATGCTATGCTGGCGTGTGTATGAAGAAGAAGAAGCGCGGCGCTCGCGCGGACGTGGGTTTTTATACCCCCGTCCCGCGTGTCGCCGCCTCTATGGTCGATGGCCATACTAATGCGCCGACAAATAATTTACTCGACCCGGGAATCGAACCCGATACCCATTTGCCGCCTAGTCGCACTTGCGACCACTCAGCCAACGAGGCAGGCAATCCTGATTTTATTTAACAAATACGTTGTTACCAGGTAAAAATAGGTGACTTTGGTCTAATGCGCGCGTTACCGGACGCGGACGATTGCTACGTGATGAGCGAGGGTCGTCGCGTGCCGTTCCCGTGGTGCGCGCCGGAGTCGCTGCGCAGTCGACAGTTCTCGCACGCCTCCGACGTCTGGATGTTCGCAGTCGCGCTCTGGGAAATGTACACCTTCGGAGAGGAACCTTGGATAGGTGAGCCATGCAACTATTCACAAGGAAATACTCATACCTCCAAGAGATTTTTGTTTACGTCTCTATTGCTAGAAAGTCATACCTGAGTGAAAGTTCTGAATGTTTCAGAATAGTCTTATAAAAGAACAATGTGATCTTATCCATATAGATCTTGGCGTAGAAACCATATTTTCTTTCACCAAATAAGATGTAGGTACTTCAAATATATCGTACAACATGTAGCTGGTTCGATTCCCGCACGTAGCAACTCTTTATGTGATCCACAAATTGTTGTTCCGGGTCCAAGTGTCATGTGTATGTGAACTTGTATAATTGTAAACGCACCCACGATACAGGAGACAACCCTAATGGGGGGAAAGTTAAAAAAAATTGCATGCATGGTTTACGAATGGGTTTGATTTGTACCTCCGACCTAATTAACATACCTATGTAGATCACCGAGGGAAGTGGAAACCATAGTTTTTTCTTCTTCTCCTCTTATAATATCTTCTGATTCACTTCGTTGCGGGAACCAAGACAGTTACTCGTGTCCCTGAGACGCGCCGGACTTCAGTGTTCCGGTGTTTTCATGGTTGTATCTACTGTAGATCCTGGCTTACAGGATTTGCAGCGGTTTTGGGAGGTTGTGACGGGCTTGTCCCATAAAAAAAATACCTATGTAGATAAGACAGTGTATTATCATCCGACATCTTAATTCGGTTCAATTGATAAATAACTTTCTTCGATTTATTTTTATTTTCTTTAATCCTTTCTATGCAAAAAAGTATAGATTAATGTCTGTAACATTGAATTATGAATCCATTGTTCGACTTTACAATTAAAATGTTAATCACCGTTTCATTGACGAACTGGGATTTTTTGTTTGCCAGCAATAAAATTGAATGTGTTATGCATGTGTGATGTTGATTATACGAATAGTTATTGACCTCCTTCAGGTTTGAACGGTTCGGAGATACTGCGGCTAATAATGCGTGAAGGTCAAAGGTTGTCGGCACCGAATGCCTGTCCGCCTGACGTGTACATGCTGATGATGCAGTGCTGGGACCTCAACCCCAAGGAGCGACCGACCTTCGCCGGCATACAGCGGTACATTGAGACCAACAAGTTCGAAACTGCTATTGCTGCGCTCAGGTAAGGAAGTAATGCAATTATATTTGACCTTGCTTCTAGAAAGCAGTACAATGCTCGCTTTGCTGAATGCGAAGTTTTGAACAGATAACATTCTTGAATACGTCATATATGTTTGCAAAAGATTATGTTTTTGTGCTGTCTTACAAAACATTCTTTTATTCTAATACAACAAAATTTTGATGATAAACATAACATAACATCATGCCTTTTTATCCCCGATAATACCACTGTATAATGTAATACCCACTTTTCACTATTCATGTTATGAGTCCCATGTAATAGGGGGTGAGCCTATTGCCATATACCGGGCACATTTCCAGACTCCGTGCTACTACTGAGATTTTTAAAAACCCAGTAATACTTTGCCCGATCCGGGAATCGAACCCGAGACCCCTTGCCCGGCAGTCGCAATTCCGACCACGCGACAAATGAGGCAGGCAAAGCTTGCGAGACCCAAAGATTATAGTAATTAGAATGAATATCATAAGTTGTCACGACAATGCTACATATTTCATTGTAAGCGCATCCCACGCATAGCAATAATGTCACGCCACTAAATTGTTTATAATCGGTAACTTTCTTCGCAACAGTTACCGGCGACCGGGCAAGATGACCATCGACGCTGGTGACGCGATCATACTGATAGACAAACGACCCGAGCTCCATTGGTGGAAGGGACAGAACCAAAGGACTTTGGAAGTAGGACTCTTTCCCAGGTAACCTCTTGTTTTCCTACCTACATACGTTTATAGTATAAAGTCTAAACCGTCTAAATCTCACTTCAGATTTAATAATGATCATAAACCTTGATAAGCGACTTGTAATATTTTTATGGACTCTCATTTAAAATAGACAATAAACTTGACTCCACGGTTGGTGCGGTGGCTGAGCAACCGGCTGCCGTGCAACGTGTCGCGGGTTCGATTCCCGCACGGAACAACACTGTGTGATCCACAAATTGTTGTTTCGGGTCTGGGTGTCATTGTGTATGTGAACTTGTATGTTTGTAAACGCACCCATGACACAGGAGAAAATCCTAGTGTGGGGCGACGTTAAGGCAAAAAAAAATAAACATTTCGTTTTTATTCTAGCACACTAGTAACGGTTGGATTGAAAAGCGGTAAAAACAATCAGGCAGTGAAGAAATCGCAGACTTTGACACCTACACAAAGAGGTAAGTTGAAATATATATAAACTAGAATATATAGTCAGGTGAAATTCTTATTCCCCTACCACTTTGCAAACATATTTAAATGTAATATCGAGTCAACAGGCCTGTAACTATTCTGAGCCCTTAGCCAAACGCCACTTTAGCGCTTGTCTACAAAGAGAGTAGAAAACTAAATGTATGGGGATGACACTGACAAGTGTCAAAATTTGCGTCAATTCCATATAATTTGGTTTTCTATTCTACGTGTAGACAAGCGCTAAATGGCATTTGGCTACAGCTGCTGGTGTTACTTCTGTCCTTGGGCAGCGCTAATCCCTAACCGTCATGCGATACGTCGGTGTTGCTTACCCATAAAGTTACAGTATTATTATTTCCATATATTTATTTTAAATTCTCTATAAATTACATTCTTAAATACTTTCTACTTAACAAAACAAAATAAAATAATATTTAAAATTGTAAAAAATAAGAGCTGACCAGTAGCGGGAGCATGGTCCAAGCTACCGGTGGTTAGGGCTCCAGAGACAGAAACCTCACGATACGTGCCGTTTCTTGGAAAACTGCCTTTTGGATCAGGTCATATTATTTACTATCAATATTTTCATATATTTATTTAAACTTTCTCTAAAATTACATTTTTAAATACTACAGTATAAAAATAATATTTAAAAATATTATTTTTAAATATTATTATTATTACTTCTTATTTAAAACTACTAAACTAAACTCCTTTGCCTACCTCAAGAAATAAAAAACCTGTCGTTCATATAATATTTGAACTAAATAATGTAACGTAATTCATATAATTCATAAGCTATATTAGTAAATACGTTCACTTTAATATGAGACGCGCGTGTGTGGCGTATTATACTTTTACTTTGGCTAAAGAAAGTAAAACTGTTGCACAGTTGTGTACGAAACAGAGTTTGTGATGTAATGGCGTATTGTTCTTCATTACTCGCCAGTAATTATAATCTTCGCCTTGAGTTGCACTGAATACTTAATTATATGCGTTATTTTGATTGTAAGAGGACGAGATAAATAGTGCTTATAGTATTTACTGAGCTGCCTCTTTCAGTTATTACTTCGGTAAATAATGAGTACTAGGTATCCACAGCCTATAAATGCCCACTGCTGATCAAAGCCTCTTCTCACACGGAGAAGGTTTGAGCATTAATCACCGAGCTTGCTCAATGCGGGTTGGCAATTACAAACTTATAATTAGAAATTATAAGTTCAGGTTTCCTCACGATGTTTTCCTTCACCGTTTGTCAGTGGTGTCTAGATAATCTTAGAACGTACATATAACTGAAAAAGTCACATTGGTAATTGCCGTTGGTAGGTTTCGAACCCGCACCCTGATGCATGAGAAGCGGGTGTTTTATTTTTGAAAAAGCATTAAGAGTCTTTGTATACTGAATTTTGAATAGTTTTTTGTACCTACTTAGTCGAAAAAACTTCATTAAACTATATAATCTGTAGTTAATATGAACACGTGTTTATTTGTTACAATTAAAAATATGTAAATAAATACCCACAATCAGATTCTACTGGAACAGGATAAAACAATAAATGGCGTGGTTAAATCATATTTATTTATGCACAAAACTCGAGAAGTTATATGCAAATTGCACCATACGACATAACATTGTCGTGTGAGACGCACTTAGCATTGAAAATCGCTAATCTATGACTAAGTGAATCTTTTATCACCTCTGAGTGATGTAGTCTGTGTGACTTGTACAAACATGTCACACCTGAACATGCTACACATATTGTTATGTATGTATATCTATCAGTATTTTGCTTAAAATGACACAAAGGTGAAGTTTTCATATAGGTACGAACTTTATATGAATTTGACCGTATTGCCTTTCAGTTCGATAAGATTATCTTTAAAGCAAGATGTTATCGATCGGAAGAGGACAAATATCTTCTACTACAATGCATAAGAAGACACGTTTATTTATATAAATAAATACAAATATTGCATTTATGTAAATATTGTACAAAATAGCTGTGAATAAATGTCATGTTTCGTAGTTACACTGAAAAGGTATTATCGGAAAATTAATGTTTTGTAGAACACAATAAATTTCAAATTAGGTGTTGTGCTAAACTTCCTGACAAAACTTATAAAACATTAATAAGAACTCAAAAAAAAAAGACATAATTTCGTTTGATTATACATATTATTGGAAACTTAGGGCGGCTACCTACGCAATTAAATTGTAGGGTACAACTACCTAGTATACTAATGTAGATGTTTTATATTAGACCCTATCTTATTTACTTTTAAGTCTGTGTTTGAACTAATACAACGTACTTACGTAGATACCTATCTATATGGTAATAAGACACATGTGTCGGGTACGAAGTGAATTTATTTATTTTTATAATGTGCATCTGCAGTGTCTGTGTACGCAGCACTTCAACGCTGAGTTTAAAATGCTCACGTTCCAGTGTTTACGTAGTAATGACGTCATAATATTGTTTTTTTTTACTAAGTCTTTCAATGACAGATTGAAGTAAAGTATGTGCTTTTTTACCGACTTCAAAAAAAGGAGGAGATACTATGTTCGGTTGATTGTTTTTTTTTTTTTGTTTGTTCGCGCAGTACTCCGCCGTTTGTGGACCGATTTCGAAAATTTTTGTTTTGTTTGAAAGGGTATACTCCCGAGATGGTCCCATTTCCATGAAGTCAGGATCTGATGATGGGATCCTAGGGAAACCGAGGGGAACTTTCGAAAATTCTATGGGGGAGTAATGCGTCTATTATGTTTTTCAATTACGAATTTTAAACATTACAATTTGATAAGGGTCTGAAGTCGACCTGATGATCGAGTCGACAGACAGTCGAGGGAACTCCTCAGCGGTTTATATTAACTACCTTGTGTTTGGGCTTAATTAATTTGTATTGATGAGGACTTTATACCTAGATAGAGTGGGGCTGTCATTAAGGGTCTGATGATGAAGAAGTGTAATTGTTAAGGGAACTCCTCAACGGTATACAGTAACTACCTTGAGTTTGGGCTTGATTAATTTGTATTGATGAGGACTTTACACCTAGATAGAGTGGGGCTGTCATTAAGGGTCTGATGATGAAGAAGTGTAATTGTTAAGGGAACTCCTCAACGGTATACAGTAACTACCTTGAGTTTGGGCTTGATTAATTTGTATTGATGAGGACTTTGCACCTATGTATATTATAAGTAACAAAACGGGTATATGTAGCTTTACACTGAAAATGGTAAAATAATAAAATAAAAACTGCGTTTAAAAAACCGACTTCAAACACCAAAAACCAAAAACTAATAACAAACAAAAAGTCAATACTAAAAAGCAAAAAATAACTATTATTAGTACTGATAGGTTACCCACCCACTGATAGGTTAGAAGTCGGTGCCATAAGCTCATATCATAATGATATAACTTAATGTCCACAAAATTGTGAATTAGATACCTATTAAGGTTTTAATGAATAATTTTGTATGGAACTTATGGCACCGACTTCTTACCTATCATTACAAAATATGTACTACAAGTTGTTACCCGCTATTTCGTCCGCGTAAAATAATGACTTCTGGAAATAGAGCTTTTGAATTAGTCTTTGCCAATGTATAATCTACGGCTGAACGGCTATCACTAATGTCATCAGAATCGATTCAGTACTTAGGTTACATTTATTGCAACATGAATTTATTTTCGTGGTTTCAAAAACTAAACAGTACCACAGGGGTTTTACCCGTACAGTGCCCGTCTCGTGAGGTTTCAGTGATAAAAAACTTTTATTTTTAAAATCAATATTGTACCGAATTTCAACAAAATAGATTTAGTGATTTAGACTATAGAGAGTGCCGGAATTTTATTTTAATTTACGCATATTTGCCAATAGACCGACACGATCGACACAACCGACACGACCGACACGACAATTACGACAAACACAAGCGACACGACAAATTCAACCGACGCAACAAAGGCGACAGACACTACAAATACAAAAAACACGACATATACGACCGACTCGACAAATACAACTGACACGACATTTACAAATCCGACTGATACGACAAATACGACCGACACGACAAATGCGACCGATGCGACAAATACGACCGATACGAGAAATACAACCAACACGACAAATGCGACCGACACGACAAATACGACCGATACGACAAATACGACCAATACGTCAAATACGACCAATACGACAAATACGACCGATGCTACAAATACGACCGATACGACAAATACGACCAATACGTCAAATACCTACGACCAATACGACAAATACGACCGATGCTACAAATGCGACCGATACGACGGTAGTTTGCGTGACTGTTAACATACACACTCACTCACACACATCCTCACAAACTTTCGAATTTACAATCTTAGTAGGATACTTACTGAAATGTATTTCAAACTTGATACACATTGCATTTTTTTATGGACAAAACCATAAAATCATTTGGGTAACATGCTATTTACTTTATTATAGTCCTTATGTAAATGACTTGCCTCCTTGCTACTTCCATTCTTCGACAAATGCGACTGATACGATAAATACAACCGACACGACAAATGCGACCGACGCAACAAATACGACCGATACGACAAATACGACCGACACGACAAACACGACAAATACGACCGATGCGACAAATGCGACCGACACGACAAATACGACCGATGCGACAAATGCGACCGACACGACAAATCCGACTGATACGACAAATACGACCGATACGACAAATGCGACCGATGCGACAAATACGACCGATACGAGAAATACAACCAACACGACAAATGCGACCGACACGACAAATACGACCGATACGACAAATACGACCAATACGTCAAATACGACCAATACGACAAATACGACCGATGCTACAAATACGACCGATACGACAAATACGACCAATACGTCAAATACCTACGACCAATACGACAAATACGACCGATGCTACAAATGCGACCGATACGACGGTAGTTTGCGTGACTGTTAACATACACACTCACTCACACACATCCTCACAAACTTTCGAATTTACAATCTTAGTAGGATACTTACTGAAATGTATTTCAAACTTGATACACATTGCATTTTTTTATGGACAAAACCATAAAATCATTTGGGTAACATGCTATTTACTTTATTATAGTCCTTATGTAAATGACTTGCCTCCTTGCTACTTCCATTCTTCTCAATGTAACGTTTTTTGCGGTAAAACTTATAACAAAACAAACAAAAATATTTCCAGCCCAAGCGACATCGAATGCATCATCATCGAACGGCGTGTCGGACGACATGGCGGTGATATTACGCAAGCGTCGTACGATAGAGTCGACGCAGCCGTCGACGACGCGCGGCGGGAACACGGGCAACAAACAGTTCAACTACAACAAACTCACCAACGACCGTGTCGCCACGTTAGCGCAAGAACGAGCCGCACGACAAACTAGGGACGCACATTCCAAGAGTCTCAATCAAGGTATGGACACGTCTGTTTCTTATATACGTATCTACCATCTACCCCGAGCGTACTGCGCGTCGTTTTCAGTGCGCGCCTCAAAGAGCCATCAGACCACCACAGATGGGGCCCAATAGGGCCGATGCCGATTCGGAGTCGCGGAGAACCTAACGGGTAACCGGGGCTCCGCCTCGACGTGCAGGAGAAGGAACGGGTTTTAGTCAGCAAGAGTCTAACACTCCCTCCCGCCTCACCCAGGCGGGAGAAGTCATTCGGTAATTTTACCCCCCTTAAAAAAAATCTACCATCTACATCCACAGCGTATAAGTGGCCACTGTTGACCAAAGGCCTCTTTTCGCGCGGAGTAGGTTTGAGCATTGAATCACCATGCTTGCTCAGTTTGGGTTGGCGATTTCAAACTTATAATTAGAAATTATGAGCCCAGGTTTCCTCACGATGTCTGTCAGCTGTTATAACCGTAACAAAACAAATCTCTGAATCTTATAAAGAGGCTTATTTAATGAGAAAAACAAATATTGACTTATAATAAGAACTGTATTGCAATGCAAAGAGGTTTATTCTTAACTACTTCTGTAGACTACTAAATATTCAGATGTATCCGTATCGTATACTGATCTTCATGAGGTTAACATAATTATATGCCAAGTACTAAGTTCCTAGAGCGACGGCTATTTAACACTACTTCGAATCTTATGCCTTATACTATTATATAAAGCTGAAGAGTTTGTGTTTGTTTGATAGCGCTAATCTCAGCAACTACTGGATGGACTTTTTTTAAAACGTTGCCCTATACTAGTGTTTTCTCCAATGTCTTGGGTGCGTTTACAAACATAAGTTTACATACACATGACACCCAGACCCGGAACAACAATCTGTAGATCTCATAAAGAGTTGTTCCGCGCGGGAATCGAATTCGCAACACGTCGCAGGTAGCTAGTTGTCCAGCCACTGCGCCAACCATGCCGTCGAACGAAACTTGAAAAATTATTTTTGTGTTGGATGGTCCATTTATTGAGAAAGGCTAAAAGACATCACGCTGCGATCAATAGGCACTGAGCACAGCGGGTAAAACCTGAAGTAGCTATTATAAAATTACATAGTAAAGTATTAAAATTACAAGGAATAGAATTTGTATGTCATCCAAATGTTTGGTACAGTTATCAAATAACGTAGATGTTGTAGTCGCTACTTCATAAAAATATGACGTCACTCGCTAAACGTACATAGGTATAGAGACCGTGTTATACTCTATAATGTATTGAACAACAAGTCCAATGACACAGGACCGGCGACCCTCTAATTGCTAATACTCACGCATTGTTAGCCTCCATATTCAGTGTGGTGATACATTTCTCGAGAGTACGCAGCGTTTGCGTCTCACAGGTCCATAGTGGGCGTATCTAATTGAAACTACGTACGTTGTTGTGAATCGCACTCATTGTATTGATGTGATTATACTGATACAGGTATCTGAATGTTTTACTGTTTTATGATTCTGAAGTTTAAGTTTTTTCTCTTGTTTATACATATTTTTGTCGGGTTTTAGCTGTTGTATTATTGACTGTGATGTAATAGGGCGCGAGACTTGACTATTGCCTATTAAGTGTGAGAGAGCCATGCTTCGGCACGACTCGACCGGAGTGATACCACGCCCTCACTGAAAACCGACGTCAAACAACGCTTGCGTTGTGTTTCGTCATGTGAGTGAGGTTAACGGAGGCCCAATTCTGTCTCCTCCTTCCCCAATCTCCCCGAAATCCCCAACAATCTTCAAATTCCTAATACCCAAAGGTTGATAACGCACTTGTAACGCGTCTGGTGTTCCAGGTGTCGATAGGCGACGCCGATTGCTTACCATCAAATTATCCATCTGCTCGTTTACCGGCTTATCCCATAAAAAGGGAATAGGGTAGTTTAGAAAATTAAAAATCCAATTAGTCCATCAGTTATATAATGAAATATTATTAGACACGTATTTTTTATTTTCTCGTATAAAGTTACAATAGGTACTTAGATAAAATGAAATTAAGTTTAAGAGTGGGAGGTCGTTACGTCACTAAGTGCTACAAAATATAGCCTCGTCTAACGTCTTGTGATGTCACACGATATTTCAGATTATTATATCGTCGAAAGTATTTAATTTAGTGACAGAAAAGAAAAAATATGTATTGTGTTTTCAGCCGAAAACACAATAATTTCTTAAGTATGTCTCACGAAAGTTACAATATTTCATTAGTGTTATTAAAACTAGCTAACAGTCCGTCGCCCGAATACTGAAAGGCTATTTAATTTTATGTTGTACCTAAATATCGTGCCATCTCTTTCATTTTAAAAGGAATATGTAGTGACAGAACTAACGCGACTTAACACGTTAACCGCCGCGTAGGTCACCGGTGACTAGGGTTGCCTTTTTTTTTGGTATTTAATGTACATTGACAATTATAGGTAAGAAAAAAAAGTACATAGTACAAAAACAAAGTACAATTTATTCTTATTTATTTATTTAAAAATATATTTTTATTACTTTTTGCAGTTTGGATTAAATTAGTATCTTTACTAAACAATTGCATCTTTACTAGAAATTGTCTAAGTGGCGTTAGCAAGTGGCGAAATCGATTCAACATAAATCGATAAATTTCGATATGGAATCGATAAGTTTACCGAAAAATATTTACGACTTTAATAGAAATTAAGTTTGCAAAAATAAAGTATTTTCGTGTACTTTATTATTCTTATAAAGTATAGAGTACAATTACCTTAAATAACGTACAATACTTTATTATAAAGTACGGGTGGCAACCCTACCGGTGACCTACGTTAGCGGAGGATTTATATTTGCCCTTAGCAGTTTTCTGTCGACAGTCAAAGGCTTAAATGAGTGGTGATTCAGTATTCGAACGTATCTATGTTGATATGTTTAAAACATAAATACCAATCGAGACATTATTTAGTTTAGTTATCGTTGTAATATTAGCTTACATATGTTTTACTATGTATGTACTTGATAACAGACATGTTCATTACAATTATGACTAGGTATAAAGATTTATTTATTTATTTTCTATGTACCCACATTCAACACAGAGGACAATACATATTATGAAAACAGAGTACATAGACCCCACATATTCCAACTGGAATTTCTTCCTGTGGGCCTGTGGCAGGAAAAGAAATAACGACACCGAGACACATAGTGTGATACACAAATAAGATAAAAATCAATTAAAAAAAAAACAATACTTAATACCGAAGAAACCAATAGAAATAACAATAATGAACAATAAAACAAACTAATATAATAATACAATTAAGATATTATGAAATGAAGTTTAATTCATTGTTTTTTTTTATAATATTTCAGTAAAAGAGGACATATTGATCGACCTGGACCTCCCGCCCTCGACTCGGCTGAGCACGCCCGCTAAGAAGTCCAGCCCCACTAGTCCCAATACAATCTCTATTCTTGACGAGCCCATAGATGTACCAGAAATAGGTGAGTTATTTACTGAATGCATTTATTTAGGGTAAAACTGTTTTGTAGTCTAAGTTTTGAACACATAACACATAACATCACGCCTTTTCATCCCCGAGGGGGTAGGCAGAGGTGCACACAGAAGTAACACCCACTTTTCACTATTTATGTTAGGAGTCCCATGTAATAGGGGGTGAGTCTATTGCCATCCATATACCGGGCACATTTCCAGACTCCGTGCTATTACTGAGATTTTATTTAAAAAACCCAGTTATACTTTGCCCGACCCGGAAATCGAACCCGAGACCCCTTGCCCGGCAGTCGCACTTGCGACCACTCGGCCAACGAGGCAAATTTTGAAATATCATAAAAAAATTAGTGTAACTGTAGAAGTAGTACTTAACCTTTCAAAAAGAAAGGAGTTTGATTTTTTGTTCATGTTTGTTGTTCTTATCTATTACAGGACTCGACAGCGACTGGGGCGAGCAAAGTATAGAAAGCTTACCCAGTGTCTCTACTTCATACAACATACAAAACTACGCCATATATGGTGCTAAGTCTTTAGACAACCTATCGACTCCTCTACACCTAAGCACATCACAAGCAACTCTACAACCAGATCCATTCGACACATCACAGTTCTGGCCCTCCAATGCAACTAGATCTAACTACGAAATTAATGAATCTAACATAAGTAGTATAAGCAAACAGTTACAAGAATCTCACAGATACTCAAGTAACAACCACACGACATCTTCCAGCGCAGAGGTATCACATATCTACAACAACATGCCGTCTACCAGCTCTAACAGCGCCGCCAGTGCCAATAACACGTACAGTAACACTCCGTCACCGTACGCCATGAACAACGCTCTCTCATTAGAACGTAACGTCACCGTGCCCAGTGTCGCAGCCTCACTGGCAGACATGTCGTTAGACGACAGAATCTCAGAATCTCTCAATCTTAGATCTAAAAGCAACAACAGTGATTATCCGTACAGTGACAGCATATACAGCGCGCCATCTACTTCAGCCGCGGCAAACAACGCCACTGAAGATAAAAAATACGGCGACATTCCCATCTACAAGAACTACGACATCACACCAGTGCAGCAACAATTTATATTGGAAACAAAAGACTACTACACCAAGCTATCGACCCCATCGAAGGCTAACACGAGCAATGATTACGAAAAGAACATTTACGTGCCGAAGTACGAAGAGGACGGTGAGAAGTTGAAGAACTTTAGCGACTGTGTGGAGAATTCTAAGAATTACTCAGCGTACAAATACCAAAATGTGGACTATCAGTATTCGAACTATGACAGCTTCCGAGGCAGTCTGGCGTCGACGTCTCGCGGCGCCGCCGTGTACGACGAGGTCAATGACACCGCTAGCAACTTCTACAGCGAGATCGGCGAGCCCGGCGCCGCCAGCGTGTACGCGGCGCAGCCTGTGTACTCCAACTCCAACCTGTACGACGAGGTGTACGAGGAGGCAGTGCCGCGGCCGCACCGCCCCGCGCCGCCCTGCCCCACTAAACCTAAATAATCACACGTAATATATCTCATTAGTGCCCCATAAATCAGTCTACTAAAATGTTGCAAAGTATACTAATTTTAAGTTACCAAGCGATGAGATATTATCTGTGTGCCTTTTAATTCTCGAAACAGAAAGATGACTGATTGAAAGGTTGACATTTCATAAGACGTTTGTAGTCAGTCGAGCATTCATTGCAAAGCACATCGTTTGTTAGACATGGTCTAAATAGAGACATAGGTAAAGCTATTGTAAATAATACCGTGATCTTCTGAAATGTCAATTTACATAAGACTGACAGCATTTTAAAGTCGCCGGAAAGAGAATCGTATGACGATCTGTCCCTCCTAACATTATAATAATTTTATTCTAGTATAGTTTGTACGTTATTTTGTTGATCCTAAAACTATTCCATTATGTTAACACATTGTGTTCTAATTGGCCTCTAAAACTCGACCCCAGCATGCAGCATTACTAAATACTTTATCTATAACTATGTAACTGATATTAATATAACTACTATATATACTCTGTTCATATAACTCGAATGTAGCAAAGTGTAAATAAGAATTATTGTCTATGTAATCTCAAAGTGTATATTACGGAGTGTTATTTTTGTAACGGAGACTATATTTTGGATAATATTGTATGACGAAACGGGAATGATGATAAAAAAGAAAATGTTATATTAATATAAATTGTAAATACATAGTCAATTGGCATCTAATTGTACGTAGATAATGTGTTCGTTGTGAAAATAGCGATCATTTACCATGTTGGCATCTCAAAAGGCAGCTTTATTGTCCAGTGAAATAAACTTTAATTGTGGTACAATTATCTTGCGTTCTATAGTCTCTGCCTACCCCAATGGACGACAGGCGTGAGGTTATGTATGTATGTCTGTAGTACAATGATTAGTGTCAAAATTATGCCATAAACAAGATTTTATTTGTCATATTATGAGAAGTGTAAACCTTCTTAGATTCCAACATGTTCTGTAAAGATATTTAAAATTAAATCGATAGTATTTCTACAAACTATCACAAAATGCATGGTATTTGATGTAGCAGCTGATATTGTCAGCTTATTCGTTAAACTCAAAGTGGAATAAGTATCGACAACTGAATGTTTACAAGTTTATTATTACTCATTATTTTTACTCATTTTTTTTAGTTTTTATCTTTACTGCTGTTTGTGAACATTGATTCAGTGAATACTTTGGGAACTATCTATATCTTATACTTTTAATTGGAAATTCTAAACTGTATATTTAAAAAGTGTTATTCAATTGTATGTTGCAATAAGAAGTAAATACCTAGCATTCTACATTAATTTTAAAAGAACGCTTTAATTGAGTGAATAAGTTGCTTATTGGGCGACGTGCTCCATCGTAGCCCGTATCATCGCTTGCCACCAGGCGAGATAGTGGTCAAACGTCAGCCCATTAAATATAAAAACATAATTTGTTTCTATAGATCAAACAGTATAAAACTCTTCTTTATAACTGAGTAAATGTTCATAAGGCAGTGTATACAACGTGCTATTTATTTAGTTAGGCGATTGTCGGACAACATCACACGGTGCCTCACCAATAAGTACCTGTTAGTTTAGTTATTTTGACGAAAGCTAAGTTACTGCGTCACTGGCACGTTTTAAGTCATTTTTGTAATTATTTATTAATATTATTTGTAGTGTCTAAGCTTGCCTCGAATTGCCGGATCGATGGGCCTCCCTAGCATAATTTGCAACTGTGTGATGAGATATTATGAATGTTATTACTGATGTCAGAAAGCTACAAATTTGTTATTAGGTTAACTTCTAGGAAAATGTATGACGTAAGTTTTGTTGTGTATATGTCGAAGTCGACGTACGATGATGATATACTCATTAACAGACTAGTGAATATTAAATTTTATCGTCACGTAGATCCGGTGTAACTAATTATTCATTGTTGATTAAAATGTAGATTTAAGTGTACTCGACTAAGGCAAGTTTTTCCTAAAGTATTTTTCTATTTCACGCATTAATTGGCGTTTAACATTTTTATTGAACGTTTTATTGTATATTGTCTACACTTGACGTGAACAAAACTTAAGTTTGATTGGAAACAGTCGTGGTTGATCCGATTTCGAAGTTTTGATATTTTTTAATACAGATTTGATAATATTAATCACATTTTTATGACACTAAAGTGCACCATGACTATATATTTTTTATGACAAAGGTGCACTGGAAACTAGAAGTTCAAATATTAAATACAAGTTATTAAAAAGACATAATCACAGTAAATATATAAGTAATCAATGGACGGTTGAATCGCGACTGTATGAATGTTCTACTGTCTTAACTCGATGTACTAAACTGTGTGTAGGTAATGTAATCAGATGTTATGTGTCCGTCTTGCGAGAGTTAAGAGTCTGTATAAATGTACAGTTCTTGTAAATATGCTTCAACGTCTAAGGCTGCTTGGATGAAACTAATAAAACATCTGTTGGCATCACAAATTGTATTTTTTTTATATCTATCTCTTTGATTCCCCCATTTATTTATCTTCCTTCCTTTGCAGTCGATAAATCAGAAGTGCAAAAGTGAACAAAATTGCAAGAGTGATCCGCATCTGTAGACAGGTGCGGATCACCAACTTTTACACCACCTACAAAAAAAACTACACTTCAAAGAAGATAATATTCGAATGCTTAGCACATGTCATTACTTTAACCATGTTTTTTTTGTCATTGAAGAGGAAAATTATAAAAACTTAGCCTAAGTACCGTAAAATGGGGTGGATAGGGATCGAGAGGTGAATAGAGACAGAAGAGGGGTGAATAGATATTGGGAGAATTTTCATAGTATCAATTCACCCCTCTTCTGTCCCTATTCACATCTCGATCCCTATTCACCCCATTTTACCGTACTTAAGTAAGTTTTGATATAATTTGACGTAGGCGAGAGACTAAAAGGTGGTCGTTCTTAGAACATAGCGTTGTCGTTAACTAGGTATACTAAGCTATGGTATACTAAGTTACCAAGTACCGTAAGAATATTAAGTGCCGATTTCTCAATCATCAGTTAATTCTTAACTGTAGAATGAAATTGGCATGTAAAATTTTTAGTTTTTTTTTCATGGCATAATCCGGTAAACGATTAGACTGATTACCTGATGGTAAGCAATCGTTGCCGCCCATGCCGCCACACCTGAAACACCAAGGTGTTACATGTGCGTTACCGGCCTTTTGGGAAATGGGAATTTGAGGATTGTGGAAGATTCGGGGATTGAGGACACTGGGGAGGGGAGGGTAATTGAGCCTTCGGTAACCTCACCTACACGACGTCAAACAACCCCTGGCGTTGTTTCACGTCGGTTTTCTGTGAGGCCGTGGTATCACTCCGGTCAAACCGGCCATTCGAGCCGAAGCATGGCTCTCTCACACGTAAGTAGTATGGAAGAATTGTCAAATATTGAAAGTCATTCCTCAGTTAAAATTTATCTGAGCATTGAAAAATTAGCATTTAAAAAAATCTATTCATCTTTTAACTCAAAATTGAATTTTTTCTAAATAAAAAGTAACCGCTACCAAATTTTATTTTATATGAAATCTTAATTAATGTGTTAATTATCGCTGTACCTGGTGGCTCTTGTACTTTCGTATTCACGGTAGGCTTAACCCAGCAGTAAGTAGGTACTCATCTATTTTAAGCTCAGTAATTGGAGCCCTCATTATAAGTACCCACGAAGGAATATCGTGGTCGTTACACTTTACGATTTAAAATTAAACGTAAGTTATAATAGCGATAATTTCGTATTATTTTACATAATTTACATCGTGTGTTATTTTTCATACTAAGTATTATTTAAGCTCATTCATTAGATAGTGGGCGAGATAGTAGTCAAACGTCGACCCATCAAATATAAAAATAAAAAAATATGATAGATAGATGTTCGAAGTAAGAATTTTCAAATAAATTAGGCAAATGGTATTAAAATACTAACCGTTACCCGCGACTTCGTCCGCGTAGTATATGAATTTTAGAACATAACTTTTTTGTTTCAATTTTCCAATATAAAAGGAACCTATTTTATTCTTTAGTACATCAGCTAACTGCCAATAAAAGTCCCATCAAAATCGGTCCAGCCATTCCAGAGATTAGCCAGTACAAACAAAAAGACAGACAAAAATTGCAAAAAAATATTATTTTGATATGTGTATCGTATATCCATATGCTTGTAGTAAAAAGCGATTATTTAAATATTACAAAAAGACACTCTAATTTTATTAATCTGTATAAATTGAATGAAAATCCTAAAGGACATGATGATGTACCTACCTATACTCCGTCTGTTTAGGTAGTTAACTATTTGTAAACAAACCATAAAAAGAGTTCTTTATAGTTGACATTTCCATGATTCAAAATACTTCATAAGAAAATAAAATTGTTTCCCTTTTTACGACAGTTTTCTCTATTAAATGTTATGTTTCTGTCCCTTTTCACTTATTTCTTAGTAAATATTATATATATCTGCTTGAGGATATTAATTTAATAACATTTATTAAATAGTATAACATTTCATTACAATAGACACCATAAAGAGCCTAAAATCCCAGGTATCCAAAACTTTTCTTTAAGAACGAAGCCAAATAATGTTGTCAAATTAAAGAGTACAACTAAGATGTAGCGCGACAATGAAAGTAGCGTGTATTACGTTTAGTCGGTTATTCAGGCGCCATTGACAGCTCTCTCGTCGTTTGCGCTCGCGTTCCTATTTTGTTGAATTTATCTTGTTTCTTTGTTTTGTTTTTGATATTAAGTTATTCAAGTTTAGGTTATTCATCGTTTGTAATTAATGTGTTCAAATATATTGAAGAAACTTGGCCCAAAGACACATATCCCTACAAGAAAGAAATCCGTACATCAGATTCAGAATAGTTTCTATTTAAACATGATAATGAAATAGACCCATAGGCAAGGCTCTTGTACGATTTAGGCATTTGCAGTTGTATATGTGTGTATGA